TTTTGTCAAAGGTTATGTTAAGCATTATTGGCATATATTATTTCTACCTGCTGAAGCTACTGCTTATGTCTCTTGCGTGAGCCCTACACTTGGATAAAACACCTGTGAAAGCAAGATCAAGGAATTGATCCAACTGAAACCAAGCTACAAGTAGCACCAGGAAAAAAAAGTCAGGAAACTTTTCACACAACTAAAACTAAGGAGTGGTGGTAAACTTGTAAAACTTGAACTAGCATTGTCAAAATGCATTACAAACCATGACTCGTTTTATCTATGTGAGAAATAGAGAAGAGGCAGTGACAGTGCAATCTCTTATACACAGTGCCAAAATTTCTAATACATCCCCTGACACTGAAACCTCTGCGAGAAATATCTGCAATAGGTTATTCTGATCTGTGTATCATTTCATTTGAAAGCTAGGCTATATTAAGTATAATAGGGCTGCTAGCAATAACCTGTCTGCCATGCTGTAAACTTATTCACGTGCCATTTTTTAAATCTTGTATGAAGCTTAATAGCCGTGGGTCCAGTAGTTCTTTCCTGATTTTTATGTTGTCTTCAGAAAATGACTATTTCTGACACTTCTTCAAACTGCAACAATTTTGATGAATAGCTTTTTTCCAATCAAGTATTAATGCTCCTTTCCAAAATTAGGAAAGATGCTGCAATATTCTCCTAAAATTCTAGCTCTTCTTCTCTGAAGGTGATAGTGGAAATTTCTGAAGAGATCAGGTATGAAGAAGGTAGCTGATATGTACAAGGTAGCAAGAGTACAAATATGCATCATAAGTTGCTAGGTGGTTCTACCAAATTCTAATTCAATTTCCAGGAATGTCTCTGTACTTTATTTTTTTCTAAGGTTTGTAATAAGGAAAGGGGAATCAAACTTGGAATAAACTCCTTAGATATGATAAGACACCTCTGCCTTGTCCTTGTAGAATAAGACTTGTTACAGGAATCCACAAGCCATTGATGACATAGACAAGGCAGAGAATGTTCTCCACTGGCCATCCATATATTTACTGTTGTACAGGTCGGGCTCCCTTGCATCTCCACCTTTGCTATTTAACTCTTCCTATCTTAAGCACTTTTTTTTTTTTTCACCTAGGTTATCTTCAGGGATATTTTTTTCTCCTTTCAGAAGAGAGTGCTTGTTTTCCTAATAACTGTTTCTTCTGGTGTCTGCCTTAATGTTTTCCAACAGCCACAGGATCATGTTAAGCCATGCTGTAAACCTGTATTATCAGACTCCACACATGGGGGCCATGCCACTGCAACAGCTGCCTTCTGCCATTTTGCTACTATAATTATTCCAGGCATGGAAGGACCAGCTATCTGGTGATGAATTCATGCTTTCCCCTCAGGGTCCGACTCCCATTTTGGCAGCCCTGTAGTCAATATTTAAACAGGTTTCCTAGCACCTGTTTTCTGATCATGAGATCGCTGCTTTCACAGATGCAAAAGCTAAAAAGTATGTGGCGATCATCCAAGAGAGAAAGAATGGCTATGTTCAAGTAAGGGTGTTTTTTTGTAAGGGTAGTTAAGCATTAAGGATAACATATGATGAAGTGCCCACGTATATCTGAGATGGAAAGTTCCTATTGAAATCAGTGGCAATTCATTCGTAGCTGCCCTTGATGGCTAGATGTCTAACTGCATTTTTTAAAAAATGTTATTTACTAGGTTTGAATGTCATTAATCATGGAGGTGTTCATGATTTTACCGTGACCATTGATGGGAATCAAACACAGGTTAGCACCAAAAAGGACAAGTGGACATCTGAATTTAATGGAGCAATCCAGTTTCTCTTCTTCACTGGAGGAAGTCACAAGGAGACTTGTTCACCCAGCAGGCTGTCATAGCCTATAGACTTGTTTCTTCAGGTGCAAAGTTGTCTCAGCAGTTTTGCTCTGATTTGTCTAGGTGATGCTTTAAAACACTGCTCCTGGGAAATGTTGGATAGCCTAGGAACACTTCAGGTTTTAGAGAAATGGGGTGAAAGGGACAATAACAAGTCTTGACTGAGCCATCTCCAAATGGCTCTTCAGTAACGAGCAGAAGAGGGAGACGCCAGTGGGGATGGATAAGACCCATTTATGTTATCCTCTAATTTATATTCCTTTGCAAAGCTGTGTGGGCCTCCTGCTTGACTAACATTTTGTTAAAATGCTAATAACTTGAGACCTCTTTTTTTTTTTTTTTTAAAAAAAAAACAAAAACAAAAACAAAAAACTTCTGTTTAGGATTTTACCAGTGTAACCTTTGTAACTTGTTCTCTGTCCTGTCCAGCCATTCATCTTTTCTACATGATCAGATGCTCTTTGGGGTGGATTATAGCTTTGATTATATTTATGAAACACTTTTTAGGTCTGCACCTCTGTTAAAACAAATATTAATCAAAATTAAAAGAAGAGAAAAGTATAGAAAGAAAAATGTGGAAGAGGAGAGAAATGAGCTAAATACTTATATTCCAATTTTATCAGATAATGAGCCTTATTTGGCAATATATAATGAAGAGTGAAAGGTTCTGTTTCTCCAAACACACATACACACACTGGTCAATTTAAATGCATGCTGATAACTAAGAGAATGAGAAAGCAATGATGACTGCGAACAGATTCTCCATGAGAGTACAGTGTGTATTTCCTGATGAGCTCCCTCCAAAATGCAGTCTTTGAAGCATACTACAAAGAGACCAAAGACCTAAGAGTTTTATACCAAAATACACCAGATGACGGGAGAGAAAAAGGACTATTGTTTTTTTTTATTGACTTGTTTCCAGACTTCATTTCTATCTAAGCTGACTTGTGGCTTCCACTTTGTATTTTAAAAAAGATTCATTCATCATGTTCCTATTGTTGTTTGTTCTTGTAAAATTACAAGCAAGTACGGAAGTTTAAGAGAATGTTATACACCAAAGATTATATCTAAACCAACATCAGAAAGAAAATCAGAAAGAAAAAGAGAAGGATGGGGGAAAGGGGCAAAATCCTCCCTTGAATCTTAACTTAAAGATTTAAAATTGGGTTAAGTAGTTTGGTTATAAGACCATTCAGACTCATATAAAAGGCCATGCAATTCTGCTACCTGTTGGAAAGATTTCACTTTACATTTTATGGGTTATCTGGTAATGAATATTTCTCTTACATATATGCTAGGTATACCCTGTCTGAAATATTTCATGATCACAACAGAATGTGTCCTGATACATGACACTAAGAAATCATGTGTTTAAATGTGTTGTTTGGTGTTAATCTCTCACCTCTTACTGAAAAGAAGCTACATAGAGAGCTTTGCTTATGAGTGGTTAATAATTTGTCAGAATACTGACCACAAAAATTAAATTGTAGCTTACTTAGGTTGGGAGACTGAAACTTTATATTTTGTTCTTTGCTTCTGTTGAGTATACTTTTCAGACATATCAAGCTTTTGGCCAAAATGTGTATCTTGGCTACGATATTATTCAGACTTATTTCTTAGGTTTTTGGAAATACTGTTATTCCCTTATGTGAAAAAACAAGACAAAACAAAACACACTAAAAAGCCAAACTGAGAGCAAACAGCACTCCACCAGGACAATTAGAGGCATTACTCTGGTATTTAGTAATTAGAGCAATGATCGGGGTATTTGGGCAGGCACTCCCGTGAGTGGCAACGCACATTTGAAGTAAAGGCTGCAAAATACCACATCTTTCCAGGAAATTAAGCAATTTTTCCCTGCCTCTGAGATACTAGATTTGCTGCTTGTTTGTTTTTGGTGGTTGTCAGTTCCTGGGCTGTAAGTTGTAGTCCTTCAGCACATGCATTTCTCCTGTTTTATTTGATCATAAATTCCACCAAAGTCGTGTATTGATTACAATCATCCTTTTTCCACACCTGGAGTATGTCTGGAGATACTGTATAATTCTGTGAAAATGGGCACAACAAGAAGAGTTTGCTGGAAATTGGATGTTCTTTGTCCATTTTGGGTCCTTCTTGCACATAGGTGTTGGATTAGGCTTCTTACAGGAGACCTTTATGTAACTTGTACGCATGACCTTTTGTACTGCGTCTGATCCCAGTGGGATTTATGCCAAGCTACTGGAATCAGTGCTGTTCTGCAAAGATGCAGCAGTGAAACCTCTGAGGGAGATTTTATGGAAAAACAACAACAACAACAAGAAAAACAAAAACCACCTGTAGGTGACTGAAGAATTTAAGCAGTTCTAGGATCAGTTACCCACTAAGTAGGAAGTTTTCATATCTCAACTATAGAGTAGCTAAAATCCACTGAAATTCACTTTTAGGAGCATGAATTCCTCCCTCATATGCAGCCTCAGCTAAACGTGTCAGAAACATGGTTTTCTCTTATATCCCATATCTCCTTGAGCCCACTAACGTTCTGGGCGGTTTTCTTCAACTTCTCAACGTCCTTTCTCCTTCCCCCTAGGCCGTTTATAATCTCCCTAAGTGAGGGAAAATGGAGCTGCCTTTGGATTTCTGCTAAGTCAGGACCTGGAAGCAGTTCCTCAGGCCTGGTTTCAGCTCGGCCTGAGGAACACCAAGCTCCTCTCCTTTTCTTACTCGGCTCTACCACAGATGGGACTTGCTTTGTTACTTGGGGTCCAGCCTCACTTAAGGATACGGATTTATGATGTAAATCTGTTGATCATTAATTGTATGGTTTGAGATTTTTTTTTAGGGCAATATCCCAACTGGCTGACAAGAGTTGCTAATGTAGGAGAAAAGTTGAATATCATTTTGGACTAAGAACTGCCTAGGTTGGTTGAGAAGAGAGTGTTTTTTGGTTTTTCTTTCAAATATCCTCAAATTCCTGTTTCCTAGGCATCTCTTTTGGGACTGTATCGTCAGCGTGCCTCACGTGTGAGTCCCATGCATTGTTTGCAGTGCCATAGCAACCTGGGCTTGCTGTGGGCCACAGCAGAGCCAGGCTGCCTTGATGAAGACCAGGAGTTCAGAGCCAGGCCCAGCAACTCTCTAATTTCTATTTCTGCCCTGCAGGGAAGGATTTCACCTTTGCAAATGAAGTTGTCAGCTTGCAGGGGTGGATGCCGGCCCTTTTGTGTGTAGCTCCAGCATGCAGTCGAAGAGGCTTACCACTGGTATGTAGCGCTTTCTAAACAGGGTAATGAACTGACTCCGTGTCAGACACAAGTCTGACTCCTGGCGTGGTCGTCTCAAGTTCAGAGACAGTGATAAAAAGGAGAAGGATTTGGAACTGTTAGGTTTAAACTTGTTTAGCAAAATTAATTAATCTGAAGAGAGAGCTGTACTGTCTTAAGTGGTATCACAGAAGATGGAGACTTTTCCTGGAATGAGTGAGATTTGGCTATTTGCGAACACCCCAAACTCATTTGTTTTTAAATTTTAATCTTATGATTCACAATACTTGCTGTTCAAGGCTCCCAGAGCCTCATGCAAATCTGTATTTTCATTAAAACCAGCAAGCTTCTAGTCATCAATTTTGCAGAGGAAAGTTGACAAGAAGTTAGCTGATATGTATCAGAAAAAAAATCTAGTTAAATGATACTTTCATTATATTTAAATCATTCTTGTGATATTTGACTTTTTTATGTATGGACTAACATTTCTGCATTTTCTTAGAGTTTATATTATTTCTTCAGCTATATTGTTTTATTGCAGAGTATCCAAGAAGGTTGTTATGCCTCACTACTTCTTGTTTCTGTTCAGTGCTCATAGTTGAACAAACTTGATTGTATTGCTTGTACAATGTGTAACAATTCATTTTTCTATTTCAGAGCCTCCATGTATAACAGAAGACGTGTTTGTAAGTATGCTTTATAAGGCTTGATCAGGTCATTTCATCATGCAACAGTAGAGCAAAACCAGTAACAAAAAAGTTACTGGAAACTGGTTTTTGTTTTCTTATTTCTTCCCTCTTTTAAGTATGGAGTGACAAAATAATGTCTTTCAATTTTCTTAGACAAAGGAAAATACTTAGTTTGAAAAACAGTTAGAAAAAGAAAAAGAAAAAAGAAAAAGGAGAAACGAAACTGTGGAGAATAAATACAAAAATGAAAAGAAAGGCAAAATAGGTTGAAGGAAGGAAACAATCAACATGTTTGGTTCAATATGACAGATTTAACAATCTTGTCCTCAAAATATCTAAGAAACAGTTGTATTCCTTTGCAGAAATAAGTTTTAAATTCCTTTCAATGTTAAAAGACTGATAGAATTTGTACAGGCTGTATTTTACACAAAAATTGCATGAAGGCAAAACTGTCATCTATTTCATTAAAATCATATTTTTTGACCAATTTTTAGCAAATTGACCTTCCAACTGCAATTGGAAAGCAGCTTTTTCTAGGTATAATTTTGACTGTATAGGAGGAAAGCTAGCATGGGAAGAAATTAAAAGTCTTCCTGGCACAAAAAAAAATCTAAGTTATAATATTGTATATGCAGCTCTATAACCTATAATGTGCAAATACGAAAGTGCAACTATGCTTTCAAATGAAAATAAGACTGACCACAAAAAACAAACAAACAAAAAGAACCTGAGGAAAGCATGTTGTGTATATCAATAGATGCAGTAAGTAGCAAAGCTTGCATTAATAAGATCATAAACATTTTATTGATTAGTGATCCAGTGTGTTTATATTTCTTGCTGTTATATGGGACTACAGAGAATTATATTCCTTACAAATTAAAAACACATGTTACCTGCGTATTCTTCAGCAGCTTATACTTCAGCCAGTAATAAATGAATTGTTTTGAATAAGTCCTTTGAAACAGTGAAATGTGAATGGTGTATTATATATATTGCAATCTTCAGATTCCTCTTTATCAGTTTGAAATCTAATTGTGCATTACCCAAACCAAATGTGAGGCAAACAGCAGTTTGTTTCAAATTATTTTCATTGTTAATTGTGTTAATACTTGCTGAATTGAGATTTATGGATCTTATTGACTGCCTAGTGACATTAGTGGGAGAATTTTCTGTTGACTTCAAAATGCTTTAGTTCAGACAATTTGGTAAATATGATCAGTACCCTAACGTCTCCAGGTCCATGGTACTACAACTGCACTGGATTATGGGCCTGTGATCCAAATAATCAAAAAGCATGATCTCTGTAAAGCAGAAAGCCTTGCTTTCAGTGTTGTCAGCTTTTTCCAGGAATGAGCATGAGCTAACTTGCCTTTCCTGTATCAGTCAAAGCAGTCACCACAAGTGTTCAGGAATAGATGTTGGCAGGCGAAGAGTGGACAAACGCCACCGGTGTGGTTGTGGCTTGTTATGCAGCACATAGGGACCTTCCTGAGTTCATATTAAGAGTAGATTAGTAGAGATTTCTTCCTTACTGAGGATAAGCTATCCTTAATTAGTTCAGACTCTGTGGAATTTGGATCAAGATGTTGCCTGTCTACAAATGATACCACTGGCACTGTGTGTAACCTCTCTTTAACACTCTACCTCACTAATATATTTGAATGTTATGAACTTGTGAAAAAGATTTTGGTCATAAAATCTTTGCTGATACTGGTAAACAGATTTGACTTGGGTGCATTCTCCTTGTGTTGCAAGGCAGAAATAATATTCAAGGAATTGTTAAAACTTTTCAGAAGTCTTCATGATACTGAAGGCAGATTTCTGAAGACAAATATAATAGTGTTCTTCTACCTTTTGTTGAATTTAAACCAGGGGTGGTGGTATTGGTAAGGTTGGGATTCATATTTATTGATTCAACAACAGTAAAACAGATGACAACTGTATTTTCCTGGCAGTTTATGAGTCTCGTTTGCAGTATTTAAATAACAGGGGTCAGACAGGTACCAAAACCTGTAGATGCAGACTTGACTTCTGATGAAGTCAACTGGAAGCTTCCCAGTTTTGTCAGATTCCAGGTGTGGCATATACTGCTTGCTTTGTGAGCCAAATCATAGATCAGAAAATTTACTGTTGTTTCCTAAACATTCCCTAAACCATCTCCAAGCAGCACTGTGGGAGTAAAAGCAGGCTCTGCTGAACGTTTATACTCTTCTCATTCCTCAGTGGGAAAGAGAAAGGTATAATGTGGGGAATTTCTAGACTATTAGATTATGCATTTTTTCAAAAGTAAACATGCAGGTGTCCAGCATTCAGAATCTGCTGGGTTTATGAAGGCTTTATCTGTAAATTTCTTGGCAAAGGATTTAACTTTATGTGTGTTTTTTAAATCGTTAAGTACCTCAGTGGTGTGCAATGGCCAGAATATAAAGATGATGCAATGACTATATTCTCAAAAGTGAGAAATAACATTTTACAAAAGTTTGCATGTAATATCTCATGGAAAAAAACATTGTTCAAGGCAACAGTGCATTCAAAACTTGTTAGTATAGATTACTATAAACCTTGTTTTCTGGTTTTGTGTCTGTCTGTAGGAAGACTGCTTAGCCACAGATGATATGCTTGTGGACTACTTCAATGAATTTTTGAGTCTTCCAGTAAGTACCTTACAGAAATCCTTTTCAAAATACAAGAAACACCTTACTAAGATTAGTAATAAGGTAATCCATCTTAGAACATTTTGCATTTTTGCCACAAGGAAGCTAAATGGCTTTTACAATTTGTCATGTTTTAACGGTAGTAACTCTTACTATTTAATGTAATTATCAGTGTCAAGAAAATAGCACTTCTGGGGACGGATTTTTCTCCTCCAAATTTACTTATCTAACTTACAGTGCACCAAAATATTATGAACAGTAAATGAAAAAGACACATAAATGCTTACGTAAAAAAATATAAGGAGTCCACTTTTATTCCAGTATTATGGAATAAATACATGCTGATAAAACCAATGTTTGTCATTTACGTTCTTCTGGCAATGCACTCAGATCCAGTGCCCTATATATAACCATTTGCCCTATACTTTGTTCCTTTTCCCCACCAACTACCCTGCCTCCCCACAATCTCATACGAGTTACGTATACTGTCCTACTCCCTCAATGTGGCAACTTCACCTGACTTCATCTTAATACTCCTTACTTAGTAGGTCCCCATTTTCTCCATTGGCACACATCACATAGGTAGTCCCCTGCCTGCTGGCACAGACCTTTCTACAGTATCACTCGAAGTTCCCATGGGACCTCCCAACCAATCTACCCCAGAGTTGCCCCACATTAATCCACTGCAGCCAAACATGTTGCATATACTCATTTCTGCAACTTGCTTGGTAGGAATCACTACTAGCAATAGGAAGGGGCAGAGTATTTCTTGGATGCTCCTTGGCCAGTATTGGAATAAAGTCAGTTAGGATTCAGGCTTACCAAGTTGATCTACACTTTCACGTACTTTCTAAACCATATCCATATCATACATTTGTCTAAAATACACATAATGGGAGTTGTACATGGGATGCCTATATCAATTTTTGATATGAAAATAGAATCTGGAAGCTTAAAACTACCATATCAGAGTGTGGATATTGTGCACAGAAGTGGTACTAACTTCTAACAGTATCTCAGACTTTATACACTTTCACCTCATTGCAAGATTCCTAAGAAAAATTTTTACAAAGCTATGGAGACACAGCCAGAAGAAAATGTATGTTGAGAGTGTTGGGTTTCTCTCTCTTTTTCTGCAGCTGCTTCAGGATAATTGCCTAAATCCAAGCCTAACTACCTAGCCTTTAAAGCGAGGCCTCCATCTATATGCCAGATTTTTCTCAGCACAGAAATACCATCCTCCACGCCTTCCCTGCTTATTTGGAAACTATGCTTCAGGTTTTCCCAAAATCACAGAGGATGGAGTGGGAAAAAAACTTCAGCCTGCTTAGTATCTGGGTCTCCTTGGATATGCACAGATTTCAGGACATCTTTTAGAGGCCAAAATTCTCTTTGGCCTCACAGGGCTCCTCAACCCAGAGTCCTGGCTCAGTTCAGCAGCTCTGAAATGCAGCAATTGTCCAGGCACTTCTGACTGCTCTTGAAGCCCACAGCAAAGAGTTCACAGACAGTCCTGAGTAAACACTGTATTATGCTGGTAATCTTGGTAGGTTTCTAAAACCACACATGGTCTCTCTTTATTTATTTATGAACTTTCATGAAAACAGAAGATGTATTAGCTGTGTTTATTTGTCGTGTTCTCATAATTGGTTTTATTTTCTCTTTGATCTTTTCTTGGGGATTTACCCTCTGCAGGATTAAGTTCTATTAATGCCTTGGGTTCTGCGGTTTGAATATTTTATATTCCCAACTTCCCTCTCCTTCTCAGAACACTTCTACTAAAACAGCGCCTTGAAAATTCCATTGCTTTATTCTTGTTGTGCTTATATGCTGTTGCCTAGAAACTGTATTACCCAGGTGTGTTAGTAGTTAGGCAACAAGTTAAACTGAAAATATTGTGTGACTTGATACAAGAAATCAGTGGTTATACGTGCTTATTTTAAGAGCCTGTCTCTGTATTGATTTATAATGCACCTCTGGTGTATGGAAAATTATATCACTGGGAACTTGCTATAGCAGCACATTTTTTTTCCTTTGATTTACAAAATATCCTTTAAGCAATAATATAGACATAATAATCATCAGAAAATCTGACATGAATATCTATGTACTCCAAAGAACTACGTATTGTAATGGAAGACAGTTTGTAAGGAAAATACTTTTGAAAGATAAAATAATAGAAAAAATCCCATGAGGGCACTTACTGCCAGTAGTACAGTGATTTCACAGCAGCAGAAATCAATCACATGGCAGACAAACAAGTTACACTTTCCATAGTAAATAATTAAAAATGAAAAATTTAAGAGAAACATTGGTATGGATGCATTTCCATTTTGAGCTGGTCAGGAATCCCTAGCACTGGAATCTTTATTCAATTAAAACATCCAAGATTATGCTTACCCAGGAATGAAAACTCAGAAGTCTGAAATCTCCATCCAGCTTTGTGTTGTAGGCCTCAGTAAGAAAGTGCAGTCATGTCAACTTGTTTCTTGTTCTCCTACCTGCTATTCGTTCCACACCCAAGTCCATACTGGGGCCTTGCCTCTCGTCTTCCAGTTACCAGTTCCAACTACCAGCTCCTGATGAAGACGTGCTCTGTTCAGCCTGCTTGAAGAATTCCACTATAGGCAACTGAGCTACCTGTACCTCATTTGGATTGTATTTGGGAGATGGTACCCTTGGTGGCAAGTCCCTGGCTGTGGGTTTCCTTTGCATTGGAAAGCTATGAAGTGACCACAGTTTTGTCAACTTCAGATTTGAAGACCTACTTCTTTTAGAACTCATTCCCACTATAAAAGCTCTCCACTCATAAAAAAAGAAAAAGAGCCTTACAGAGATGTATTAATAGGGCCACAAGGATAGAAGACACAATATACTGCAGGTAGACTGCTTGATATCATTGATATCAATGCAGGCCTATTAGTTTCTGCTTGTCTTTTCCAGGTGTATGGAAGGAGGCTGCAGGAGCCATTACAACCCCTTTTTAAAAAAACAAAACAAAACAAAAACAAAAACAACAGCACACATTTGTATCAGTGAGGCCTTACATACGTATTATGTTGAGTTTTATCTAGTCCAAAAACTTGCACTGATATACAAGGAGGCAAAAAAAGCTCTCCTGACTTCTCTTCTTATTGGTAGTAGGTTTACCTAAAATGCTCCTCTCTTTGTTAGACTGTGGTGTGTGACTGTGACTTGCATCTTACTCATCAATGGAAGGGGAATCCTGGACTCACTGAAGTCAATGGGAGATTTGGCATTGACCATGTGCAGCCTGAATTTTCCAGGCACTTCCTAGAGCTGCTCAAATTCTTTTCTGGTCTGGATTCTCACTGACTTTTATTTATGATATACACATACCCTTCTTAAAGAAGTTTTGGCAAAGTTCCTGGATGTGGTCTCTATTCATTCCCACCCTTTCAGGGCCTTAACCTAAGAGGCAGCCAAGCTGTGGTCATTCTGTTTCTCTTGGGATCAAACTATATTACTCGGGGTGGGATGTGGTGAGCATATTTACGCATTTGTTAACTGTATCTGAAGTTAAGTATATCTGAAAACTGTTAAGGCAGAGAACAGTAAGATTTATATGTCTGATATCCTGGCAACATGGTGATGGATGCTGTTTTGGTTTCTGTTTTGGGAGGACTGAGGGAAATTTGCCTTCCCTTCAGTTAAGTGTATAACTTCAGATTTCAGAATTATGTATTTTATTTATTCTTAAGCTGAAACCTTAATCAATGTGTATTTGACAGCCACAAAATTTCTTTGCTGTCAAAAATGTACAAGCAATTGTTTATTTATTCAATAGTATTGCAGTACCACAGTGTGAAAACATCTTTTTGTTGTTTGCTTGGAGATTTTTTCTGAAGCTAACTACGATGAGTTATATTGGTCATACTGGAGCCAAGGGGGGAATGGCCTGTAGATTATAGAGTTAGTAAGCTTATTTGTTAGTATTCTCAAATCCTTGTTGATCCTTTCTATTGTGCTAAACTGATAATATATGAATCCCAAATTTCAAGACTCCTGCCAAAATGGATTTTTTTTTTTAATTTTATTTTTTAACATCTTGAAGTATAATTTGGCTCTGGAGTTTTTCCTCTTTATCTTCAAAGGATCAAAAACTGGCCCAAACTAGAAAAAGAATGTAGGGAAGAATGCATTGATACTTTTAGTCTTTGGTTATTGTATTTTACTTGTCCATAAAAAGCTAAAGCACTTGCCAAATTTGGGGTAAGAAAGGCATTTCTTAGTATATTAGATTGGCATGGATAATTTTTTCCCCTTCTTTTATAGTGTAGGCTATCATCTACTCCTTAACACAACATAGTCATCTTCACTGAAGAAATTCCTTGTTATTGCAATGACCCAGCATATTGGTGGTGCCATAAACCTCTCCCATCATTGTCCTGTGAAACATTATAGGATTTTATGGCGCTTGGCTTCTGTGGGAAAAGCTTTAGTTTTGCTACAGGGTATTGAGCCTTTTTTTTTTTTTTTTTTTGTGTTTGTAATGTGTGGGAATGGTTGGATTATGTGTTTTGTTCCAAAGTTTTTGTTTTTCATATGCTGAGAGAACTGAGGGAGTGTTTGCCCTGTCCTGTAACTTGGAAAATGCTTCCTACAAAGAAATCAGCTTTTTTTGTGTGTGTGTGTGTGTATGTTCCTATTTGATTTTATCATAACATTATCATTTTTATTTTTGTGGTGAGGATGATTTAAGAAGGTCATGACCTCTTCTTTCATTATGCCTATAAAAGCATTCTGATTTATCATTCTAGTTTTCTTAAGCAAGGTAGTGAAATACACTTCCCCAGGAAGGCTTAAACTGTTCTAATTTGTTTTTATATGATGCTTTGATGAGATATTCTATCTGGTAGAATTTGGGACTTGCACTTCATGCTGGAAGGGGCTTTGGGGAGGTCTGTAGTCTGGCCTCCTGTTCAAAGCAGGGTCAGTGCTTTAATGTTGAGACCAGGTTGCTTGCAAATCTCCAACAACATATTCCATAGTCTCTTTGGGCAGTTTGTCCTAATTCCAATTATCCTACTATATTTTTTTTTCTTATATCCAGCTGGAGCCTCTTCTATTTCAGTGTATGAACATCATCTCTTGTCCTTTCACCATGTACCTCTCTGAAAAGCCTGTCTTCTCAGTAATCTCCTTGTAAGTACTGTCAGGCCGCTGCTAGGTCTCACACCAGAGCTCTTCAAACTAAACAAGCTCTGTTTCCTCAGCTTTTCCTCACAGGGCAAGTGCTTCAGCCTTTGAAAATCTCAGAAGTCTTCTGCTGGGCCTACTAAATCTTATGCACATTCTTCTTGTACTGGAGACCCAAAACTGGATATAGTACTTCAGATGCTATCTTGCTGGTGATAATTATACCTGGGGATAAGTAAACTACACCTTGGTCCATACCTCAAAACTTTGGACCAGAACCACCTGTTTCAGTGAAGTAGAGGTTGGACTAGGTGATCTTGGAGGTCTCTTCCAACCTAGATGATTCTGTGATTCTGTATGTACTGTGTGAAGTCTTAATCCTCTTACCCATGTATGTCCTTTTGTTCCATTAGTGTATGTCTTATAAATGATTCATAGCTGGACATCCAAAATAGCAATACACTTTACAATTTAAAACTTGCCATTGGCATCTGTTTCACTATATTAAAGTTGCCATATGTTTTCCGTTCAGTGAACGAGAATGTGCATTGAAAAATCTAGAGTAAGTTAAACAGGATTTAGTAAAAGCAGGTATGTGTGACAAACTTTGTCCTCTTTGCTTAGTTTTCAACTTGAATGACATGGTACTAAAATAATCTGGTCGTATCTAGTCATGCAACCCTAGATTACGGAATTTGCATTTTGTTTGCTTTTTTTCTGCAAGCAAGTGCATTTCCAATTCGGAGAGACTGAAGCACCTTGTTTCTTAGTGTATTTTCTTCTGTTTCCATTTTAAAAACACACAAAAAATAAGAAAGAATACATTTGGAGATTATTAAGGTTGCACAGTTAGTCTCTTAAAAGTTAGTAGCTGCCCAAATTAGGTTTGAAACTAAGTGAAACGTATGCACAACAAATGGGGAGCAGGTCGGAATGCAGTAGAGAGAACACATAAAACAACACATAAAAGCCTCTTTTAAATGCTGTTTGGTACATCTGGAGAAAAAGCACTAAAACCTGCAGAGTACCCTGGAGAAAATTAATGCCGAAAGAGGCACGAGGTGTCAGAGAACAAAAAACAAGCCTTGATTTTCAACTGAAGTTAGGTAACTCAACAGACTACTGCAATTCAATGCATGGCTCTGACCAGTGACAGTCTGATGTCATAGGCCCTAATCATATACTTCAAGCTCTCATGTGCTACGTGCTTTGCCAGGCTGAGCCTCCACAGCGAGACATTATGGGACAAGCAGGGAATGTTGTAACCACATGTTGCAGCCACATGGGTTGATTTGGGGCATTCCTCTATAAGACATTTATCAACAAAGGTGCTTCAAACAGAAGCAACAAAATAGCTGACACTGACATGGTTGCTTTGGACTTACATAGGTGTAAAGAAGAATAAAAATGGTTTATAATATACTTCTATATTATATGTAGCATGTATTCAACATATGTAGTACGTGTATGAATTATGTCTATGTGTGTATATATATATGCTTCTATATGCATACTGTGACACATGAAGAAGTTCAAGGAAATGAAAAATACAGTGCTTGAAAAAATATAATAATCTCATTAAGTGCAGGGGAACGACAACTGTACAAACACCAGGTGGGATCCTAGTTGGAACAACGCCAAAAAAAAGTCTTGGCACTGGATCTGGATATGGCCAGGATTTTTCCCTCCTGCTTTCTTCAGTTCTTAAATACGACATGTCCGCTAGTCCTCCAGCTCAATATGGAGATACTCATGCTCTGGTTGTGTATAGCCTCAGTTTCATAAATGGCTTGGTTATCTCCCAAGATTTCTGTAAAATCCATCAATATTTTCCCCCCCTCACTTGAAAGATATGTAGAAGTATGTAGAAGAAAAGGAAATATTTATTATGAGAGCTAAAAGATGAAAGAATTCTGCGATCTGTTTTAAAATGTACAAAGCAGGGATTTTTATTTTTTTTTTTTTTTTAAATGTATGTGTGTGTTGACAAAAGTTAAAATTATGTAGTTGAAGATGAAGTTTGGTCTGCCTCATGTATACTACCGTATCTATCTGTTGTAGTGCTGTATATTCACTATAGGCCATAGGTTATGGCAGGTGCTTGACCTACAAGTAATACTATGGGGAAAAGCCTTTCTTATATTTGGGAATCTTCAGATTCATCCTCCTCAAATGCTTTCACATTTAAAAAGTCAGCTTCATTGCTAATCTTTTCAAGTCTTGCCTGTTTGTGGTAGTAAATGGGAAAATAATACTGGAGATCTGATCTGGTATCTAAAGTAGTTTCTTGCAGAACAGTTGTTGAAGTCACTATGAATTATATGTTCTAGGCATTTGTGCAGTGGAACTATAATTTGCATCTGAAAAAGAATGGTCTGTGATCTAGAGTGAATTAGAATCAAGAGAAAGAAGCCTCATAATACCAGCTTGTATTCTGTAGGATGCAACTATACCATAAAAAGTAACTTTCTTAAATGAGATATTTCCCTTATTACAGTGCTAAAAACTTTCCAAACTTCTTTTTGTAGACTTTTGCCCAGCCAGTTAAATTTAACCCTGACTTTGGGGTTTTTGAAGTAGTTAATGATGCCCCACAACGCCTGGAAAACCAGCTGAAAAAAGTTCTACATGATCAGAAACCTCCAAACCCCATTTATGATGTTATAAGGAAAGCAAAGAATGATGGGCAGCTTTCCAAAAAGATCAGCGCTTCTCCAGTCTTCAATATTGATCCAAATTACAACACTATGGTAAGCATCTTATAGCCACTGAGTTTATATTTAGATCTCACTGTAGAGATACTGGCAGTAGTTATTGTTGTGTTTGGCTTGGTAGCTTGGGAAAAATGTTAATTTATGTTAGGAAAACATAATGATGGGCCAAATTATGCCCTGCAATGCACATGTGTCTACCAGACAACTGAATGGAATTACACATGTACATCCTGTAGCACAGAATTTTGAAGATTCTGTAGGGCAGGATTCAGTTGTGTGGTCTGAATACTTTTTAATATTAAAAGAAAAAATATTATGACAACAGTTACTTTACTAGTGATCCCTGGAATGTGCAAATTGACTGAAACTAATGCATCTCAGTCTTTCCTTATTAATTAATTTCCTTATGTGGCTATGAGCTCATCTGTGGTCTGGCAACACATAAGTCTCTCCCCCATCAATTCCCAAAGGGTTTACATGGTTAGCATCAATTGAAATGGCCAGAAAAAATAACCTTTGGCAACAAGAATAGTAAATTAATGGAAAAATAGGTTGGATTTTAGAGAAAAAAAAAGTTTCAGATTTGTTCAGACATCATCAATTTTGGTATTGTTACGTGTTCACTTTCAGGACTTTATTCAGCACCAGATTAGGCATGTTAAAATCAAGTACCGAAGTACCATTTGCATCTGTGAGAATATAAGACATTAGTTGTGGGAGTTTACCTTTAAGCAGTATCTTTAGAGGACAAAAATATATTTCACTGGGATACTTGGTTTATTCCTTTCTTGCTTATTTTGCATTGGTGTGACTGATGTGACTTCAGTTCATTTCATTCAAGGCCAGTTTAAGGTCTTGCTACATTTTTAGAGGCGGCTGCTCTAAATTATGTCATAGCTGGAAAGCTGAGAGAAAATCAGGGAGTTAAAACAGACTGCTGCTTTGCTCAGTATAAGTTTAATGATTTTCAGAAAAGAAAACACAATGTTGGGAGAGGTCAAAAGGCAACGATGTTTAACAAAGTGATAGCAATGTGAGATTGCAACTATCTGCAATATAAACTGGGAAAAGGCTAAAACGGGACAAAGCTCACAGACATGCCCACCATGTTAAATGATTATTTTCATGAATATTTTGCTTGGGACAAAAGCTCAAAAGCAGAAGAACAATTCTCGATTTCTTATTCGGGGTCAGGATTCAACTGGGGAAATGTTTTGTGCCTGTGCAAGAGTGGCTAACATTGTTCTCTTGGATAACCTCACATTATTGTGACAGTGGATGACTTTTTTGACAAATTCAAAGCCATCACCTTGTCTTCACTATTACTTACATCTCTCATGGATTGGAGCAACAGGGCTCCTATATTATTTAAGGATATTTTTCCTTCTCCATGGAGTTTTCCAAAGATGGGAAGCATTATGGCTTTTTCAGGAACAACATAACTCAGTGGGTATCTAAGCCCTACACAGCCACTTGCTCACTTTCCCCCAGTAGAACTGGGGAGAGAATTTGAAAGGTAAGAAAAAACTCATGGATCAAGATGAAGGCATCTTAATACATAAAAATAAATAAATAAATAAATAACCTGCAAGTGCAAGGAAAGCAAAATGAGGAATTCATTCACTACTTTCCATTGGTAGGCAGATGTTCAGCTATTTCTAGGAAAGCCAGGCTCACCACGTGTAATGGTTACTTGGGAAGACAAATGCCATCACTCTGAACATCACTCCCCTCAGCTTTTATTGCTGAGCAGGGCAGCATATGTTGTGGAATATCCCTTTGGTCCGCTGGGGTCAGCTGTCCTGGCTGTGTCCCCTCTGATCTTCTGGTTCACCCCCAGCCTCCTTGCTGGTAGGCTGTGAAAAGAGGAGGCCTTGGGGCTCAGTAAGTCCTGTTCAGCAATAGCTAAAACAGTATGTTATCAACACTGTTTTGGTCGCAGGTTCGAAACACAGCACCATATGTGCTACTAGGAAGAAAATTATCCCAACCTGAGCCAGAGAATTTAGACCCTCATCCACTTCAACTTGGCATTTTAAGGTTGAGCTGGAACTAAGTGGCCTGCAAAAAAGTCTGCCAAAAATCAGGACTACAACTATGTAAGGTGAAAGATGTCAACTTCATTCATTGTACCACACAGTGGCAGAACCAGAAGTCATCCCAGACCCACTGCATCAAGTAGTTCAGTTCAAATCAAATAGAATTTGATCTTTCAAGCATAGAGCAATGCTGCCCCTGTTGCTTTGACTGCTTCTATTTTTGCTTCTCTCATTGATTGATAGTTGAGCAGCCATCACTCACTTGCACATTATTGGTGAAAATGAGTTGTGACCTTTCAGGCTACAGCCTGACTTCAAATGTATAGTCTGAGAAATGTACTGGCAGCGTTTTTCTCTCTATTTTAATTCTCTCACACTGCCACAAATTTATGGATAAGCGAAAGATCCTTCTGCATGTGTGCATGCACGCTTGCTAGTTATTGATTTGGCGGTAACTTCTTATCAATAGTCAAAATCAACTCGGTGTGAAATATATTGAGAAAAAAACCTGCGGAGTTGGGTAGACCCAGTCACCACTATGGAAAGAAACTGGCTGGCATCCCACATACCTTACTTCAGAGAAACCCCAGTTCAGCAAAGCACTTAAGTATGTGTTTAACTTTAATCAAGTGAAGTTAAACACATGCTTAAACTTAAACACGTGCTAAAAGCTTTACTGGATTGGGTCCCAACATGGCCTAAGGCTGACTGGGTAAGGAAGCTAACCAAGGTAACAAAACCCACCAGATTGAATGTTGCATCTGTCTTTGGGGAAGGAGAAAGAGTAGAGATTCTTTCCTTCTGATAGTATATATAATTTTGTGTACCAACCATGTACAGACGTGAACATGTTATGAATCATTCAGATAAAAAACTGGGCTGTGAGTCAGTAAATACATAAATATTAAATGCAGACTGACTGGCCAAAATAAAGAGACAATCTTCTGTATTTCCAAAAGGCTTGTTAGTTACCAAAAGGAGGTATATACTGTATGGTTGGGAGTAATTAGTCTCCATCTCCACAAATTACATTGTGTGAGCCACTGCCAACATAAGCTTTCCATATTTTGAAATATTTTCTTCTCTCTAAATGAAACCACCCACTTTCTGAGTAATTTAGATTTTTTTTAATCCCCTACAGATATGTATGAAGGAGAAATAAACCTGGTCCCTAATGAAATATTAGCTCATGGAAAGAAAATTTAAAATGTAATTTACATGAACTGGTTATTTGATATAGCAAGTAGCAAAAACATTGATACTTCCATCCTTGAGCCAAATTCACCTGTTTCTCTGGACAAGAGGAGTTATTGCGTTTTTACTAATCATCAATTTCACCTTCACTAAAAGGAAAAGTGCATCTCAGACAAATAAAACCAGTCATCCCCTAAGAGTGTAAAAAACACGCTTTCTTTTTTTTTAAAGAAAAGTAAAAAAGGTGTGTTGTGTCATTTGAATAGTTATGGTTCATGGTGGCCCACACTCAGAGAACTTGCTCTCTTTATAAGACCCTCAGGCAAGTTTTTCAGTTAGCTGTTTCTGTGTAGCTCACCGCTTAACACCTCCTTTTCACCCTCCAAATCACTCTTTGGCGGCACCTAGCTTTCTGCTTTGACTAGGCACTGAGATTTAAATGACCACCTGAGCGGAAATATATTACGGGTCTGATTCTATTCACACTTAGATTTCCATTTAAAGTGTTACTGTGTGCAATGCAGTTATGCAACATAAAAGTGGGAAAGGTGATAACTGATCTTTGATTATTATTATTATTTTTAATATCCAGAGTTCCACCATTTGGGAATCATAATTTATGCTAAAGCTTCCCTATTCCTCAAATTATTGGGGATAAAATGTAATAATGTCTGATTATAAAAGATGAATAAGAAAAATTATCAGTTTCCTACTGCAGAAAATTTATGAGCATTTAATTTGTATTGGAATTGTGCGGTAAAAGCATGACTCATGCATACATTCCAGGGCCTCAATGTCCTTCTCATACTGAGGAACCCAGAACTGAACAAAGTACTTGAGGTGCAGCCTCACCAGAGCAGAGTACAAGGGGATGATCACCTCCCCCTGGTCCTGCTGGCTACACTATCCCTGATACAAGCCAGGGTGCTGCTGGCCTTCTTTGCCCCCTGGGCACACTGCTGGCTCGTGTTCAGGAGAGCATCAATCAGCACCCCCAGATCCTTTTCCTCTGCACAGCTTTTGAGCCACTCTCCCTCAGCCCTGTAGCGCTGCATGGGGTTGTTGGGGCCAAAGTGCAGGACCAGGTACTGAGCCATGTTGAACCTCATCCCACTGGCCCATCAACCCACCCTTTCCAGGTCCCTCTGCAGGGCCTTCCTACCCTTCAGCAGATTGACACTTCCCCCCAACTTGGTGTTGTCTGCAAACTTACTGAGAGTGCACTCAATTCCCTCATCCAAATCATCAATAAAGCTATTAAAGAGGATGGCCCCCAACACTGACCCCTGGGGAACACCACTCGTAACCAGTCACCAGCTGGATTTCACTCCATTCACTACTACTCTTTGGGCCTGGCTGTCCACCCAGTTTTTAACCCAGCAAAGTGTGTACCTGTCCAAGCCATGGGCTGCCAGCTTCTCCAAGAGAATACTGGGGGAGACCATGTCAAAGGCCTTGCTGAAGTCTAGGTAGACATTATTTTTGAAGAAAAAACTGCCATGATTTGTTAAAAAAAGTTGTACTCTCATAGGCAAAATCATATTTAGATCTTATTACCTGTTAATAGCAGAGTAAAGAAATTCAATTTTCCTGGTACAATTAAGACTAATATGGGTAACAAAGGTGATGTTCATTTTATACAAGTTTTTTAAGACAATGCTTCTTTAGAAGGGGGATGGAGAGAATCCATTATATGGCAAGCAAAATAATAAAGTCAAGAATACTGCAAATCTTTGGCATTTCTTTTTTAATAGCGCCTTGATCGAGAACAAGCAGTGCAGTGGATTAAGAAAGAAAGACTTCCAGCTTTTCTAGAAAGTGATTGCTACTTCGAATACAGGTATTGCAGTCTTTTATGCTCTTAGTTTTATATCTACATTTATCTTTTATTTTTTACTAATCTTGACTGTACTCAATATATTTTCTCTCACCTCTCGTGTTTTAGCTTTTTAGCAACCTGGATAAGTTAAAATCAGTGACTTTTTTCAGTCGTTTTTCTGTAATTATCCTTGACCACAATTACATACTATATTACAACACTACAGAGAGAGTAGGAGGAGTATTTGCAGATTCTTGGATCTCTCTTTCACAGAGATATCATGGTAGCAATACGTTTCTCTCTAATCAACATATAAGCCATATGGGTAAAAGAGATGAATCCATAAAATCTATTCAAAAAAGACAGACAGTCCTTTTTATCTTAATTATCTGTTTTGTATCTTCGGGCCCACTTCAGATTTCCTTTTGCAAGGTTCTCTGTGGGATGCCATGGCGAAGTTTGGATGATTTCCAGTTATACACTTGCTGTATTTTTCCAGATGTCCTTTCAGCCTCTTTTCTAATATTCCAGATGTTTGGTCTGTGTTTTGGAAGGACCTGTCTCTACAGCCCTTAAAGCTGTTGATAACTGTATTGTGTTGATAATTGATAATGCGTAGGGTTCCTAAAAAGGAGAAGCAGCCTGGCAGTATGGTTCACAAAACACGTTTGTTAATTGTTGTGACAGAATAGTTACTGGGGTGCTGACTCCTACATGAAAAGATTCAAAATTATTTTTAACTTTCAATATCCTGAAGACTGCACTTGGGAATGTTTCATGAGGGAAACCGCAAAGAATAAGAAAACCACCAAAGAGTGTTCCATTTTACCTTTAGTAGAAGCCTGCTTTATGATACAGGTATCTGGGCATTGTGAAACACCAGAATTTTGATCTTCTGCTATACCAAAGGTGTTTTTATCTATCTATCTATCTATCTATCTATCTATCTATCTATCTATCTATCTATCTATCTATCTATCTATCTATCTATCCACCTACCCACCTACCCACCTACCCACCTACCCACCTACCCACCTATCCACCTACCCACCTACCCACCTACCTACTTATGAAGCAGAGTTACATAAGAGAATTATATAAAACTATTTTAGAATCATAGAATATCCTGAGTTGGAAGGAACCCACACAGATCATTGAGTCCATCTCCTGGCTCCACACAGGACTACCCAAAAATCAAACCACATGTCTCACAGCATTGTCTAAATGTTCTTGAACTCCAGCAGGCTCAGTGCCGTGAAGACTGCCCTGGGGAGTTTGTTCCAGTGCCCGACCACCCTCTGGGTGCAGAACCTTTCCCTAACCCCCTGCCTGACCCTCCCCTGTCCCAGCTCCATGCCGTTCCCTCGGGTCCTGTCGCTGTCCCCAGAGAGCAGAGCTCAGCGCCTGCCCCTCCGCTCCCCTTGTGAGGGAGCTGCAGGCCGCCATGAGGCCTCCCCTCAGCCTGCTCTGCTCGGGGTTGAGCACACCAAGGGCCCTCAGCCGCTCCTCATGTGTTTACATCGCTAGACCTCTCCATCCTCTAGTCCCCCAGTCTGTAGATACATGTGCCTAATTTCTGTAGATATCAGTGCTTTAAATTACATTCCTGAATCAGGAGCAAGATAAGCTGAGGTGTTAAATTGGAAGCTTGTGTTTAAAGATGAAGATAAGATGACAGTGTGTATTAGGTTTATGTGGCAAGGTTTTGGTAGTGAGGGGGCTGCAGGGGTGGCCTATGTGAGAGGAGCCCAGAGGACACCCCATGTCAGATCAGAGCCAGCTCCAGCCAGCTCCATAAAGGACCCACTGCTGTCTAGAGCTGAGCCAGTGGGTCCTGCTGCTTGCACCGCTGTGAGAGCAGATTTAAGAAAGGAAAAAAAAAACGCTGTGCCACAGCAGCTGGGAGAGAGGAGTGAGTCAACCCTTTAGACACCAAGGTCAGTGAAGAAGGAGGGCAGCAGGTACTCCAGTTGCCAGAACAGAAGTTCCTCTACAGCCCATGGGTCCCACATGGAGCAGATCTCCACGCTGCAGCCCCCCCATGGGTGGAGGAGCCCCTGGTGGAGCAGGTGGATGTGGCCTGGAGGAGGCTGCGGCCCATGGAGAGCCCCCTCAGGAGCAGGCCCCGGGCCGGAGCTGCACCCGGTGGAGAGGAGCCCACGCAGGAGCAGGAGTCTGGGGGGAGCTGCTGCCTGTGGGGGACCTGTGCTGGAGCAGTTTGCTCCTGGGGGATGGACCCCGTGGGACAGAGCCATGGGGGAGCAGTTCCTGAAGAGCTGCTGCCTGTGGGCAGCCCCTGCAGGCTCGGTTCGGGAAGGACGGCATCCCGTGGGAGGGACCCCAAGGGGAGCAGGGGCAGAGAGGAATCATGAGAGGAACCAAGGGGTGGTGGAGACGAAGTGTTAGGGACTGAACACAACCCACATTACCCATTCCCCTGCGCCTCTTGGGGGAGGAGGTAGAAGAAGGTAGTTGGGGGAGAAGGTGATTTTGGTTTGCTTTTAGTTCTCACCACTCTATTCTGTTATCAATATGTAATAACATATATTAATCTCCATATGCTGAATCTGTTTTGCCTATGGTGGTAGGTGGTGAGTGATCTCCCTGTCATTATCCCAACCCACGCACCTTTCTTCATCATATTTTCTCCTCCTGCTCTTTTGAGGAAGGGGAATGAGAAAGCAGCATTGTGGAACTTATTTGCCCTTCAGTGTGAAACCACCACAAGGTACCCCAATCCTAGAATGAAATCCTTTTGCCTCCAAGTAGTGGGGACAAACAAAAATGGGCATTCAGTTCATGGTCATATGCTAAGGCATAGGCTTCTTCCCTTCACATGCACCTTGGTTTTATACTACTATCTGACTTAACCGAGTAAGCTCTGCCACAGTTCTTGAGGCCAAAGCATCCTCAAGATCCTCCTGGTCATGTGGTTCTAATACTGCCTTTTTCTGGACATTGCAAGGTTCACAATATCACAAGGTAGCACTGGAGTGTGTTATGTCTACACAGAGCAGCCAACTGAACATGGTAGCACCTGCTGTCTTGTTATCATCTGAAAGCTCAATTAGTATGAACACTGCTGTGGCATTGCTGCTCACAGATTGCTTGTGTCAGGGACAGGAAATGTAATGTCTGGTACTGATACAGGGCTTCTGCAATCTGGGGAAATAGTTCCATTTTAGCAAACAATATGTTCAAGTGTTTCTTGGCAGGGTTTGGAGCTGTATGGATATATGCAGGATCATCCTGACAGAAATCAATTTTGCTGGTAAAGATTTATAATGTAAAGCAGGCCACCATCTGTAAAGCTGGTGGACTACGGAATGGCAGTACTGGTGTTTACATATGTGACAGCAGGCGAGCGGTGAAATAATAAAGTAGAACATGAAGTTCCCTGTGGCAATTTATTTTCAGAGTGATCATGTTTTTTATTGCCTATTCTAGGGAAAAATCAATTGTTTCTCTGACTAAAAGCTAAGATTAACCATTTTCTTGTCTGAACATTTAATTCCAGGCTAGCTAAATTGATATCACAAGTAGAATGGAGCCAGACTGGCATTAATTTCATTATAGACAGTAACTATTATCCCTGGATAAGGAAGGAAGTTCCTAGTCCTCCCTCTCCTGAAGAGGATGAGACTTCATTCACTATGAAGAAGTTCTATGTATCACTTGGCCAGGTAAAATGAACGTTTAGTGGGTGTAACATTGAGCTAGATTGAATGCATTGGGTTAAATTATTGTAATTGAGGTTCCAACTTAATTGAATAACTGAGTCTCTGAATATTCCATCTTTTTAAAGCTCTTTGTGCTAAAGAAGAAGTTTGGTGGGTCATAACACAACCTAAACAGAATTGCTGCTGTATTATGAGTATGCGCAGCTACTGTCATACATCTATTTTCTCTGGGAAGTATTGGTGTAGAAATGTATACAAACAGACTGCACAAAATGACTACAGACAGTAAGCCCTCTGTCAGAAACACTGCAATAAATAACGCTGAATTATTCTATTACATATCTTTTCATAGGCTACAGTTTCTCAGACAAAGGATTGGTTTACGTTAGCACAGGAAAGTGATTGCACAAAAACTACAGATTCATTTACGCGTCCCGTAGCTTCTAGTCAAATTCACGATATTCAGCATTTGCCTGAGATGCATGAAAGAGATGATTCATTAAGTGACAAAACTGGCCTAGGTAAGTAACAGAGGCCCAGATATTGTATATATAACTGTCTGACTTAGTCAAAATAGAAGGCATTCTAAGGAATTGCTACTAACTCCACTTACTTCTTTCTAAAAGTATCACACGGTATCTCAGGCTTCAGATGGGGGAAAAAATGGGTTTGTTTCTTTCCCTAGTCACAACATTAAATGTAAATTTGACCTAATAGTCAAGTAATTTTGTGATAGTAGAAGCCTCTTTCCTTACGTATTTGTGTCTCACATATGTCTTTAAGTTTCAACTGAGGTTTTTTTTTGTTTGCTTGTTTAGTTGGTTGGTTGGTTTTCATTTGAGATGATTTGAAAGACTTTATTGTCTAGATCCTTTGGGTATTTGATAATATATGATTTGCACTGCAGCCATCCCAGGGTATTTATGTTTGACACTTACAGGCCTTCTGGCTGCCAGTTTTTATGAATCTTAGAGAATGTAATTGTTTGTGACATTCTTGTCTGTCTGTCAAACTTAACTGAAATTGTTCAGCAGGTTCAAAGGTACTGGGAGAAAACACACAGACACACATGTTAACATACATGATTGCATAGCTTTGCTTCTGTTCTGTAGGCACTAGCAAGATGAACAGAGTTGCTAGGAGTTCTCTCTCTCCCCATTCTCAGAGAAAAAACAGCCATGCCTTGAGACTTGTACTGCTGGGACCTTGGAGTTGAAAGGCTGAATGGAAAATTGGAAGACATGGTAATTCCAGAAATCTGTCTTCTTTCCCAAACCCATGTGGATTATCTCAGGAAACATATTGCTGATTCATGGATTATTGATGAAGTTATTCAAGTTGCACTTGTTTGCAGCTCATGACTCTACCAGTAATTTTTGCAGTGCTTTGAGCAGAAAGGTCACAAGTGCACCATTCTTGCAGAGTGCCATTATGTAGCATGGCTCTGTAGTGCAGCAGACTGAGCATAGAACTATAGAAAACCTCTCTGTCCTCTGAGCATTTTGCCTCAATGGATATCTTTTATCTTCTCACTGAAAGCAGTGTTTTATAAAATAGACATTGATTTTACATATACTTACTGCTTTTTATTCTTCTTTCATGGGAAAGCTCGCATTTATTTTCCAGTCAGAAAACTATTTTTAGGCACAATATTCATCTATTGTAGGGATCAAGAACTAAAAGCAATAAAGGGCATCAGCCCTTTCCTTCTCAGAACCAGCCTACAATTAAAAAGAGTGCAATAGTTGAAGGTATTTGCTTTGACAATACAGTTTGAATTCTTTGCTCTCTGCTTGGATCAGGGTGATGAACAGATGTCTTGAGCAAAAAAATTTACCACTTGGCTTTTGATTACTCAAAAGCTGTGTGTCTCTCTCCCTGATCCTTCTAGTCCTGTGAAATCATTCTTCCTGTTTCAGGTTCATAGAACTGTGTTGAGAAGTTCTACTTTGTCAAAGACAGTATTAGAAATAGTTTAGTAATAAGAAAAGATATTTTAAATAACACTGTCTTTTGTATTAATGTTAACATACTGTGTCATAGGTACTTACACATAGAAGTGTGTAAGTGCAGAGCAGAGAATTTCTATGCCACAGTGCTAATCCAAGGTTCTGTCTGTGACAGTGGTCTGCACTTGGCTTCTTTGTAGGTTGACACAAGGAATGTCTAACTGCCATTGCCATTTATTGACTAGCCTACTGGAGAGTTACATAGGCTGAGAACGCTGCACGTGTGAAGTTAGTGGCTCAGAGGGCTTTAGCCCTTTTCTGTCACAATCTGATGTAGTGCATGTGCTCAGAGTTCATAGCATCCATCTCTTTGACAATGTGATTGAATGTACCCAGGTGTTTACCTTACTGACACAATAGAATGCAAATGCCTAAGTCTTATATTTAGGAAAATACAGAAGATTAAGCTTATCTAGTACTTTAACTACTGGATTGATATGAAGATATTCTAAAGCCACAGTTGAAATATTACTTTTTTTTTTTTTTCCTTTCACTTAGATTCTGTTGATGGTCAAAATATCTGCAGTTATTCTGCTCAGTTTTACAGGGCTGACCTGTGCAATGGTAACAGCATTAACCTAGGTAAACATTATGTATATTCAAATCATCTCCACTAACATGTTCCAGAAGTACGTGTTTTGTTGAAAATCTGTTAGAAGTAGAAAAGGTTCTTGAGTAAGATAAAGCATCAAGTTTCTTTCTCAGCAGACCAGGATGGCAGGGCATGCCTCATAGCATGGGCACAAAGAGGAGTGGGGTAGTGTAGACAAAAAAACAAAAACAACAAAACAGCAACAACAACAACAAAACACAAAACAAAAACAAAACAAAACAAAAAACACACACAAAAAAAAAACAAAACACAACCAACCAACAACCAAACAAACATGTCTGGTCACTGGTATGGACTTATTAGTTTTAAAACATCTCTAAACAGAAAGGAGCCATTTAGCAATATGGTTTAGTGGAGGACTTGTTAGTGTTAGGTCAGAGGTTGGATTCGATGATCTTGAGGTCTCTTTCAACCTAGACAATTCTGTGATTCTGTGATTTCTGGGTGGCAGACTGAACTGCAGAGTTGTTAAATGTTTCCAGAGTCCTTGACATAATCAAGGGCTTTGTTGTTCTCCTGTGTATGCCAAGACTTTAGACAGCTGAACAAAGGTCCATTCGATGTTTTAGACACTTTGCAATAATCAACGTAAGTATACAAAGAGTTATCACTTACTAGCTTCCTTATGCCTAAAGAGAAAACAACCCTGCTATGAATTGTGATTTTGATCAAACCATGAGCAAATGCTCAGGGAAGAAACCAGGCCCTGCTGCACAACAAGGTGGTTTAACAAATGCTGAGGATCTGTGATATTCAGCTGAGTAAACAGGACAGTTTACTCCAGAGGGAGTTATTCCTGAACTCTGCTGTTCTGCTGGAATGCAATAGGGAATGAGTTTCTGAGTCATGGGGCTGAGTTTCTTGCCAGATAGCAAGAGCAGAAGCACCTCCACTGATACCTGCGCTGCAGTGCAACACGGTCTCATTGTTCTGCTGCTGCAGCACAGTATGAATAAATTGCATTGGAAATGTTGATGTGCAAGAGAGCAGTCCTGAACCAAAAGCGTGTTCAATGATCTTTTCTGATTTAATGCAGAAGCAGGTTCCCTGTCTAAGGAATATCACCAACGGAGTTTCCTTTCCCCTTCAAGGACTGCATCAACAAAAGCTGATGATATTAGGGAGAAATCCAGAGAGGCTGAGGAGCATTCTTCTGTGGCCATTGCTGAAACTCCTTCTCACACTCAGCTAATTTATGTAGACCAGAAACTGGAAAGTGCATCAAAAGAAGAAAGTGGGCAGGAGAATGCAACTCTTCAGACACCAGAAGAAACCATAGCAATGGAGGAATCAATTTCAGAACTGAGCCACCAGCCAGTCTGCCGAGATTGAGAGTGACGTGGATTTCCATAAACAGCCTGAAGTGTTTGCACACGAGTTAGCAGATAATGAAGTTGCCTGTGGTACAGCAGAGCCACTCTTTTCCCAAAGTTCTTCTCCATTTACAGTCTTAGACTCCACAAGAGATGTAAGAGAACAGGATACTGAAGAAGTGAGCTTAAGATCAAGTTCTGAAAGTGATGGGGCTGACAGTAGGGCTGCCTGGTGTATTAGCCACAAAACGTATGATGCCGGCAACAGAAATGAGTTTGAAAGATTCAAGAAATTCATTAAAGGAACACTTGGGGAAAGGTATTGGTGTCTCTGGATGGATATTGAGAGACTAAAGGTTCTTAAGGACACTACAAGGCAACAAAGGTATTCTCCATTATTTATCATTTATTCCTATTATTTTTTATATTTGTAACACAGATCAATGGAGGTTTTGGGATTTCAGAATAAATAATGTTTGAATAGAACTGGACACAATTAATCATGAGTATACTGACAGGTAGGTCAGAAATGAGTCTGCTGAAGCTCATAAAGCAAAACTTACATGTGCTCAGAATCACTGTAGCATTAAGGCTTTGTTAGAAATAAATTTGGAAAACAGAAAGCGATAGAGAGGCAAAAAGAACAAAAGAACTTAAAATCACAAGTGGGGCATTCTGTATGACAAACTGCTTTAGTGGAAGGCTCTACTAGATTCAGGTTGTCTATCCTAAGGCACTGTACATTTTTTCTTATACACAACCTGTCTTTAATTTGTGGAAAAATTGTTTTGGCTTCTGCCACTTGCAATTAGATACATTGCATGACAGCAGGTTAACCAGCAGAATGTACCGTACTTAGTTCTGTATAGCATATGATACATGCTTATGTGACTATTTTTGTTTGACTCAAGGCAACTTGATAGGATGAAAAAATTCTATCTGCTGAGCAGTGGAGACTATTTCCTCACTTCTGAAGTGTTATTCAGACTTGATCTGCTACGTGGAGATCAGTGGAATATAAAGCATTTAAGGCGTATTCAGCCTGAAGTAGTGAAACCTCTTCTTCTTTACTGGTATGAAAAAATTAACATGAACTAAGATTCTACTTTTAACAAATTTCCCTTTTCTTTGATAAGCCTACTAGGTTTATTTCTTCTCACTTATCCCATTGCAATTATGGGAAGTAATGTCACGTAAATACTAGCAGATGTTGCCTCTTAAGTTTTCAGTTGAGACTAAACTACACTGCAATCTGTTGAGAAGACAGGTAGATCTGCCTTACTGAACCTTTGTTATTTTACTGCCAGAGCATCTGAGCTACCTTGTGTATAGCTACCTTGGATACCATTCTAATAAACTTTGGCTGCAGGGTAGAGAAATCCCTGCAGGCGTAGAAGGTTAATTCTGTCCTAACCTATTCCCCATACTGCCCTTCTCAAGTTTCTGAGGATGCTCTGTGTATACATCTACGTGGAATTTGACCTTGAGACTTTACTGTTCAATGTCTGTTATACAAAATGCCTTTGCATATTGACAGCTTAAGCAAGGATACAAATTCTAGCCTGTTTCCAAAACATTAGCTAGATTTTTGAAGGTCTTCTCTCCTCCCCAAGGGGTATCAACAAATTGCAGGCAGAAACAAATACCTGCAGTTGTGTACTTTGCTGTGAAGCCTCATGAGAGCTGTGGTCTATGTCTTGTGACCTAAAATTCTTTCCTATTCTTTGCTGTGGGATGAATGTGGCATATCCCACTACAGACTCATACAAAGGCAACTGTGTAATGGTGCAGTATTTGAAACCTAAGTTAATGTACGTGTAGATTGTTTTTAAATTTGTTAGAGTGCAATGTATAAACATAACTTAAAAAATAAATAAATAAAAAAGCCAAATAGCCTAGTATTTCATGCTTTGGAAAAATTCTACTTATTAGTTTTTGTTTGTTTGTTTTTGTTTTTGTTTCATTTTCTTTTTCTTTAGGGGTCCCAGATTCTGTGTCACTCATTCAACAGCAATAGATACTGCCAGTGCACAACTGAAGTTCTGGCACACGTGCCAGGAGAGACCGAGGGTAGACATTGATCCTTTCCCACAAATGGTATCATTGCTGCCATTGACACCTAAATCTTGCGTGCCCAGAATGCTTCCTCAGGTAGGTAGCATCATGACATTGAGACCAAAGCCTTGTCCCATCAAAAATAACAATAAAACTCCTTGAGTTCAATGTAACAAGCATATCATACTTGCTTGTTAGGAAGTCGAGATTTAGCAAGCTTGTCTCTTCCAGATGGTTATATAGCAAAATAAAGTATAATTTTACTGCATTTTATGCAACAGGTCACTGTAAATTGAGCCAAACTTTCTTCTCAGTTATATCCTGGCTATTTTGTAAGTCTTTTGAATACACATTTTATTTTCATTCTCAGAATTAAAATACTAAAGTTCTAGCAGCATAGATTCTGCCCCTCAGCCAGCCTTATCTTAATCCAGAGTAATTTCTACAACTTCACTGCAGTTACCCTGAATCTACTTTCATGTTTGTAAAAAGGGCAGAGTTTTGCTCAGCTTCTAACACCACAGTACTTCAATAATCTAGCAACACATGATTTTTGTTTTCTACAGAGGGCCATGAACCACAGGACAGTGACCTGTCTTTTTCACAGCATGTAGCTTGCAGATGGCCAATTCAGTTTTGACTCTCCTCTTCCCTGAAAGCCTCAGTTTGAGAGGTGATTGCAGTGAAAGCAGCAGGTCTTCAGCAATGATGTGTTAAGACTCTGGACAGGAGGCAGTTGGAAAATGTGACTCTAGAGTGTGATTCCAGTATCAAGAACTGGATGGTCTATGCCACAGATCTGTTCACACACGCCTCTGTTACTTTGAAGTGGATAGTTTTAGACTACAATTATAATGCATGTTTTCAAAAAGCTAATTCATAGGGATAATGGAGGAAAAACAGTGGGAGAGATTTCCTGTTCAGAAGCAGCTGAGTTCAGGATGAGATTCCCATTGAGCACAGCAGGAATGGGCCAGAAGCAGCTGCTTCTTACAGAGACCAGTTCTGGCTTCACGAGGTGTGCTAATGACCCAGGAATAGCTGTAGGTCATGGAGACAGGATCCTAACTCTGCAGGTTTTTCAGCCCCTGTTGGGTTCAGTGCATGAAGAAAACTATGACCTGGCACCCGTGACTCTTACAGAATCAGCTGATTTCTTGCTGCTGTTTTTGCTGTGAGAAATCTGGACTTCTGAATCTATTCATATTCATATGAACAGGCTGGATTTCTGAGAGCACTCTGAGTACAACTGGCATCTCCAAAAAGTCATAGCATGATTTTGTTCAGAAGTTAGTGAAGGTGTGGCAGAATGCACCCTTTCTCTCTTAGTTTGAACAATTGTATCTCTCATACAGCCCTGGTTTACAGAGAGTTACTCAAGGTGTCCTTGAGATTCTCAAGATTCACAAAGCATGCTTTTCACCTGCCATCCTCTGTAATTCTATGCAAAGTGTATGTAACATACTTCTACCTGTTAAAAATGTAATTTCTAAGTTATCATAGTTATTAAAGTGTCCTGAAAAATCTTGGAAGATATTCAGAGAAGATTTTTGCAATTACCAGCTTTACATATTGTGATCGATAAGGAACAACGGTCCTGAACACCTTTTTAATGCTTTTGAGTAGTTAATGAGAACATTTTAAGAAAATGCAAAGATGTAAAAAAAAATGAATTGCTCTATTTTTCTGCTGTATCTTTTAGAGAAGTAGAACCAGCACACCAACATTTTTGAAACTAGCCACACCAGATTTCTCTTTGAAGAATTCATCAAGGTTATCACCTATTTTGTCATCACGTCAGAGCCCCCAAAGGGATGACTTTTCTAGCAGTAGAAAGTGGTAAGCACAAAAGGACTTCAAAAAGTACTTCAAAAAATGCACAGAAGTACATCTTTCCAATACACCTCAAACATTTATGAAAGGCTTTTAGATCCTACTGTTTTCATGAATACTTATCTTTAATACAGTATTCTGCTTAGTGAAGCACATTTATGGTATAGATTGCTTGCATGGAGAATTTCTTCCTGTCTGATTAGTTATTCATTTGCTTGTGCCACAACACAAAAGGGGTTATTTCTCCAAATACAAACTTTTTTACCCTTTCATGTAACCATTAATATTCTCTACATACATTTACATTCTCTAAACTCACCTCAAGCATTTGGCCTCAAAGATATGTTGTGTCAGTTATTTCCATGGGGTCACATGAAAAAAGTATTTCTTTACATTTTTTACATTCACTGTAAGTTTGAACTCCATTTACTTTTTCCCTACTGCTTGCTATGTTGTTCTACCCATCTGATGTCCTTTCTTAGTTGTTTATTTCATTGACAGTTTTAGTTTTATTCTTAAATAGATTTTTTTTTTTTTGTGGACTTAGGCCAAAGTCAGTGAGCAGGGACGTGATACCTTGTATAACTTTGGATGACTCTACAGAAGTGAAATACCAGGCTCGTAGAAAGTACACCTATGCTGAGTTGCTCCCAGTAAGTAGTACCTGAAAATGTTAGTTGTCTTGAATCATGGGTTAAAATATTTTATTCTGTAGTATTAAAGGGGAAGTAGGCAATGATGGGGGAAATGGGTTTGATTATGTGAATGTCAATGCCTTATGCAGAGGTATAATTAGAATGTCAGCATTTTGTGTGTGGTATCTGTCACCTATTTGATAGGAAATCATGGCACATACAGAGGTTTATTTTCACTAGAAAGTGTTGATCTTCTCCATGGTGACCATGTGTTCAATAGGCTATTATGGAAAACTCACTGGATAAATGCTTCAGTGGAATCATTACCTAGGAAAGTATATCAGACTTAAAGTGTAACTGAGAACTGAATCTGGCATAGGAAGTCATTAAAATAGTAAAATTCATAAGGGGAAAATATTTCAGTTGTAAAAGTCATCTTTATTGCTTGCGTTCTTTGTTCTTTTGTTTGTTGAATTATTGCCTCCTAAGCAAGCCCTCAGTCCAGCAAGCCTCAGGAGGAACAGGCTGCACAGAAGAGCCTTCTCTTAATAACTTCTAAAATGCTGGCGAATCAAGCAATTTGAGATATCCAGATTTAGCAATTTAAAACATATCTAAAACTTTAATGGTTGTGGATCGTTCACAAAGCAGATTGCTGTTTCACAGAGGTACCAATACCCATGGCTTCATACCTAAAAAAAAGTATGTTATGAAATCTGGGCCTGTTTACACATGCATGGAATTAGTTGGATCAGTTGAGCACAAGATTATTTGCTTTTCACACCAAAACCATACTTTGTTTATTACTTCACTGCATTCTTTTTATTTCTCTGTTAATTTTGACAGAAAAAAAAAAAAAGAAAGAAAAAAGCCTTGTCTTTGCAATTAGGGACATTTATATTTAGAAACTTACATTCAGGAAATGTTTACATCATGAACTATTAGTTTTTATGCACCTTCATCATGCAGGGTTTCTCTCTGGCCGAAGGAAGGAAAATTCTATCTGTTTACACTTGGAAGGCTAGGCTGGAACCTACAGTCAGGACCCCCCAGTTCGCTATCATAAATACAATGTAAAGGGGAATGCAGGGATCCACAATTTAACTTCATACCGGGGAGTGGGATCTTCCTACTCTGATTCAGAAGCCTTTTCCGTCCCTGTTACTGCTTGGAAAGAAACTGGTGATCAGCCACAAGACTCATCTACTTTCACCTTTTCTATCAGAGGTTGCAGGCCAGCCAAAGTTTCTTTTTCATGATCATCAGAAGCTAATGTACTAGTTTGTAACTTCCTCTGGCTTCTCTGTGAGCATTGGCAAAATGGATGTATTCCTCCTCAAATGCCCTGGGAGCTAGCTGCTGTAAAGGGTATGGATTTCCTCCCTTACAATATTCATGATTTTGTTACTGATGTTGGTGGCATACCTCCAAGAGACATATTTTATTCCATGGAGATTAACCACTATGAGGTTTGACCAAAAATATCACTTGGTAACTTCTGTTAGTACAAAACACAGTAGCCTGAGCTGAGACAGCTTTTGACAGCTACGTGATATAGTTTAGTATCACTACAATTCCCTGGATTCAGTGCTAAAGAGTCAATGACAGAATTAAGGCCAAGTTTCTTTTCCTATTTCAAGGAACCACCTATGGGATACTATGGTCATTTTGCTGCTCTACGCACCTTAAGTCATCAGATTTACTCCATAAAACATGAATATTTAATAGGAAAAAGGTAAGGAGAGCTATGATCAATTGCACATGTAATAGAAAATGGAGTCTGGTTTCTTGGGATGAAGGTACTAATTGAACACACTGCATGGCCCTCCATTGCAATGTACTGACATTTAAAAATAATGAAAGCCTGTTATTGCTTGTTGTATAACTATATATTTTTTTTTGTCCAGGGGAAAAGTGCTGCTGGCAGTGCTGTCTTAGGGAGATCAATAATGGAAAGCATGCTGCAGTCTCTTTATTTGGAGAGCAGAGCAGGCTACTACTTCACACACTTCTGTGAGAAGTCAGGGAATAAGGTATGAGCATTTTCCTACCCTGTGATAATTTAGTCCATAATTGACTGAATGCCAAGTTATAGAGGGCAGCCAGACTGAAAAAAAAAAAAAGAAAAATTGGAGAAAGAAAGATTGATGACTGGATGAATTATTACTTGTGAGACTACAATCCCTCAACAACAATAAACTGTTCATATGTATATTCAAACTAATGACAGGTCTTAACCAAGCTGTCAGATCCTAACTGTCTCAAACCTATTGGAAATCTGAATGTACCATCAGGAATAAAAAAAAAGACTAATCGTTTTTAAAAACTGGCCTTTAACTTGGCAGAAAAAATGAGGTCTTAACCCACAAAAACATTTTTTATAAAGATGGAAAATCCGCTATGCTATTACTCATGATAATCTGTCTCATTCTTGCTTGTTGGGTTAGCGATGTCCAAACTCTCCAATGTTTTAAAAACGTTCTTCTACTTCCATGAAGCTTTTTGGATTTCTGAGAAACATAACACTGTTTCTTCCCTGCAGTCAGTAAAGTCATCATTCATTGCTGGGTGTAAATTGAAGATTGGTTGGAACAATTTATTGATCTGGGTCAGTGTTTAGTGGCTTTTGAGGAACATTGAGTCTTTAGGGGAGACTTGAATACGATCAAGACGGACATCTGTTTCACTGCTAACACAACCCAGAATTGAGCAGCAGTAGCTAGAAATGCCTTTGGCTACCAGAAGGAAAAAGTCAACATTTTCAAAGTTGAATACCTTCAACTAAAAATGTTAAATGTGTACAGATAGAATCTAAGTAAAAGTAACTCATTTTTCATGGGAGATAGGCACCAACCCACATATCCTCTAGTGCAGGTGCCAAACTCCTTTGAAAATTATTTCCTTAAGGGCTTGTCTAAAACTGTGGAACCTACTTCATTTATATGCCAGGTTTCATAGGCTAAAGTTTGTGGAAAAAAGTTTCCTGCCCCTATCTTTTTGAAACACATTCATTATTGTCCAATGATGGTGGTTTCAGGGTATTTTTCAGATCCAAACACCATAATTAAAACAGAGGATTTGGGGAAAGATTTAGACTCCTTTTTTTAAAAGATAATTTGGCATTTGTTTGAATTTATGAACTGGTTCCAAGACACTATGCCTCAGAAATTCATGTAACAAAAATTCAACGATAGTCACAGTAACATATATCAAGTATACAATATTTAATTGTTTTGGTTATTGCTGCAAAATGCTGTTTCACCGTGGCACAAATTCTGCATGTCCATTATCAGCATTTCTTCTTAAGTGCTGGCTTTATGCCACTGAAATGTGGTTACTCTTCAAATGTTAACTACAATGTTAACAATTTTAATGGCCAATTATGCATAAAGGATACAATAAAAGATATAGTATCACAGTGACGATGCCATTAAATATGTTGTCCTTCTGCCAGTATGCAACAGAAGATTAAATCCATTTTAAATTGAGCTTGATTTATGATGACCCCAAGGAGCTAAATAATTACTTGCATTGGAAACTCAACCTTCTATAAATGCCTGATATTCGGGTAGTAATAACTTACATTTTTTTTCATCTTTAGTTGTGGAAGAACAGTGCGTACTTTTGGGCTGACCTACAGGCTTATCATCAGCTTTTCTACCAAGAAACTCTTCATCCCTTCAAAATATGCAAGCAAGCTCAAGTAAGTTGTAAATAATGTATTTTTTCTTCACAAATAAATTCGTTCATTCCCTTCACAAATGCTTTTGTTCAGTGTAAAGACTGAAAAGAAGATAGAAAAGTTTCCAAATCTTGACAACTCACACCAAAGTATATCTGGTTTTGGACAATAAAAGAAGCTCTTTGGCTTACTTCCACAGAATGTCTTGATTTAAATGTTAAACATGCATAGTTTCATTTCTAGGCTCTGTTGTCTGTTCCCAGTTTTATCTATTATACTCAGTTTACCTAATCTCCCCTTTGCTACTCTACGTCGTATTTGGAAACCTCCTGTTTAGTGTTAACATCTGTGATAACACTTTTTTATAAACCATCTAATCATGTTTTACCTTTCTTTCCATCTCCTACGTGGGTTAAAATTGCAGGTCTTGTAGTCCAGGCCTCAGATATTGACCTTAAGTCATGAAAATGGATCTTTCAGTTGTCAGTCCTGATTTTCCTTTTCTGGTTGTCAGGGCATTCATACTCTTTACATAAGCATCTCCTCCACCCCCAGATTTGATCTTTAGACCCTTATTTACTGTCAAGCATAATGGATGTTTCCTATAAACAAGTATTTTTAATAGAATATGCACTTTAAGTCAGGGAATAAAACAAATCTAAGCTGGTTCACCCCAGGCCATGGGTACTGATAGCTCTTACTGACTGCAAAATAGTCTGATACTGCCAGGAAAGGATACTACAGCAGTGTGATATTGTGAGAAGGATTCCAAGCAACTTTTAACATCATTTTGTGAAACTTCAGTCTGTTTTCCCTCTGTAAACCTTGTGTGGGAGTATATTCTATCTGCATACTTGAATATACGCTGTAATAGAGCAAAACTACTTCAGAGGTTGTTGGAGCAAATATCTCTAGGGAGCAGTGGAGAATAATCTCATTGTATGGCTTACACTATTGAGCATCTTGAATTCGTCTTCTCTTCTAACTTGGGAGTTTTACTGGGGCAAATGACACAACGTTGCATATTTGTCCATTTTTTTTCACTAGAATCGGTGTTAATTGTATGGAAACTCTAAGCAGAGGCTGAAACTTGGACTCCCTCTCCCTCTTGCATACTGGGTAACCTGAAGTACTACTTTGTTTATTTTTTTTTCCCCTTTAACTCTACCGATGGCATTCCTAAGGCTGACCATCTCCCATAGCTGCATGGGTTTGTGGCTAGGGACCTAGTTCACAACAGACATGTAAGCTGGCTGCCTCTCCTGGTGTCCTTCTTCAGAACTCTCATCTATCAAAGAAGCTGCACAAGCACGTTGGACAGCGTGGACGTTTTGTTCCTATCCTTTTAACTTTGTAGCTGAGTCTCTGAACTTGTGGTTGTCGTGGTTCTGCTCGAGTGGGCAGCCGAGCTCCACCACAGCCGCTCTCTCACTCCCCTCCTCAAAGAGGAATGGGGAGAAAATATGTGAAAGGGGCTCAAGGATTGAGATAAGGACGAGAAAATCACGCAATAATTAGTGTAACGGGCAAACCAGACTCAGCATAAGAAGACAGATAGTAAGATTTATTGCTCATTACTAACAAGCTAGAGAAGTGAGAAACAAAGGAAAGAAACCAAAAGCACCTCCCCCCCATCCACCCTCTTCCACCTCCTCCCCCCGAGCGGCGCAGGGGAACGGGGGAATGGGGGTTATGGTCAGTCTACAGCACTTCTTCTCTGCCGCTCCTTCTCGGTCACTCTCGTCCCCTGTGCTGTGGGGTCCCACCCACGGGATGCAGTCCTTGATGAACTGATCCGGCGTGGGCTTCCCACAGGCAGCAGCTCTTCCAGAACTGCTCCAGATATGGGTCCGTACCACGGGGTCCATCCCTCAGGAGAAAACTGCTCCAACCTGGCTCCCCTACGGGCAGCAGCTCCTGCCAGATCACCTGCTCCTGCGTGGTCTCCTCTCCACGGGCTACAGGTCCGGCCCGGAATCTGCTCCGGCAGGGGTCTTCCACAGGCGGCAGCCTCCGTCGGTGCAGGGCCACCTGCTCCACCGTGGTCTCCTCCACGGGCTGCAGCGTGGAACCCTGCTCCACCGTGGTACTCCATGGGCTGCAGGGGGACATCCTGCTTCACCATGGTCCTCACCACAGGCCACAGGGGACTTCTGCTCCGGCGCCTGGAGCACCTCTCCCCCTCCTTCTACACTGACCTTGGCACCTGCAAAGCTGTTTCTCACTCCCTTGACTCTCCCGGCTGCTGTGTGGCGCAGCAGTTTTTTCCCTGTCTTAAATATGCTCTCACAGAGGCGCAAAACAACATCGCTTATTGGCTCAGATTTGGAAAACAATGGGGCCCTTCCCAAACATGGGGCAGCTTCTAGATCTTTCTCACAGAAACCACCCCTATGGCCCCCTGCTACCAAAGCCTTGCCACGTAAACCCACTACATTCCACCCCTCGCCTCTGTGAAAAGCATATTTAAGATTACTCACAATATACTCTTACTTTACAATTATCACAACAACTTTCACAAATTTCACTTAAATCAAAAAGAAAACAAAATTCACCACATCAAAATAAACATAACATCATCACAGCACCGACAAGGTGGACATTTTACACACACACCACCCCTCGTCCCTTCACCACACTAACATCTCACAGTTACTGCTTTCTTAAATTCTTCACAACTTGTACATTCTTAACAATCATCCTGCGCATATTTTGCCCGTTACTTCTACCAACTATCATCCTTATCTCAAATTCCTCGAGCCCCACGTTGGGCGCCAAAAAGGACTGTCGTGGTTCTGCTCGAGTGGGCAGCCGAGCTCCACCACAGCCGCTCTCTCACTCCCCTCCTCAAAGAGGAATGGGGAGAAAATATGTGAAAGGGGCTCAAGGATTGAGATAAGGACGAGAAAATCACGCAATAATTAGTGTAACGGGCAAACCAGACTCAGCATAAGAAGACAGATAGTAAGATTTATTGCTCATTACTAACAAGCTAGAGAAGTGAGAAACAAAGGAAAGAAACCAAAAGCACCTCCCCCCCATCCACCCTCTTCCACCTCCTCCCCCCGAGCGGCGCAGGGGAACGGGGGAATGGGGGTTATGGTCAGTCTACAGCACTTCTTCTCTGCCGCTCCTTCTCGGTCACTCTCGTCCCCTGTGCTGTGGGGTCCCACCCACGGGATGCAGTCCTTGATGAACTGATCCGGCGTGGGCTTCCCACAGGCAGCAGCTCTTCCAGAACTGCTCCAGATATGGGTCCGTACCACGGGGTCCATCCCTCAGGAGAAAACTGCTCCAACCTGGCTCCCCTACGGGCAGCAGCTCCTGCCAGATCACCTGCTCCTGCGTGGTCTCCTCTCCACGGGCTACAGGTCCGGCCCGGAATCTGCTCCGGCAGGGGTCTTCCACAGGCGGCAGCCTCCGTCGGTGCAGGGCCACCTGCTCCACCGTGGTCTCCTCCACGGGCTGCAGCGTGGAACCCTGCTCCACCGTGGTACTCCATGGGCTGCAGGGGGACATCCTGCTTCACCATGGTCCTCACCACAGGCCACAGGGGACTTCTGCTCCGGCGCCTGGAGCACCTCTCCCCCTCCTTCTACACTGACCTTGGCACCTGCAAAGCTGTTTCTCACTCCCTTGACTCTCCCGGCTGCTGTGTGGCGCAGCAGTTTTTTCCCTGTCTTAAATATGCTCTCACAGAGGCGCAAAACAACATCGCTTATTGGCTCAGATTTGGAAAACAATGGGGCCCTTCCCAAACATGGGGCAGCTTCTAGATCTTTCTCACAGAAACCACCCCTATGGCCCCCTGCTACCAAAGCCTTGCCACGTAAACCCACTACAGTGGTATACTTAACTAGATAATCTTTGGGGAAACTTGATAGTGACTGTTACTCAGAAAAGTCAAGATGTTGGAGATTCACAAACAGATTGGATAAATCCCTCTTTCCATTAGGCAAAGATATACTGGCCCAAATTTACTGTGCCATTTGTGGGCATGGTTAGCTTGTTTAATCAGAGAGTTAGGAGTGTGGCAGTGGCACTCTGTGTAAAGTCAAAAACATGAGAAAATTATTATTTTTTTTTTTAAGTAAAAAAAATAATTATTTAACCTACTGTATGTAGACTGTGTCTTGATCTTCCTGTATATTTTTCGTAGACCAGTCTTAGGTTATGGTCTATGATGATCTTAGGTTAAGAGCTACAATTCAGTTTTTAATTCAGATTAATTTCACACCATCTTCCTCTCTTTTTGATACGGTTGCATGGTTGAAAATTACGGCTCAGGTCTTTTTTATTTTTCTTATCAAAATTTCCAGCGCTGGCCTGGTGGTGACAGCAGAACATCGCACAATCGGTGTTACTAAGCAATTGCAAAGAGCTACGTACACATAGCCATTAAAGTAAATACATCAAAACGAAATATGTGAAACTGTTCCATTAGCATAACTAACAGCTGAAATGTAACATAACAAATCAACACATGTGCTGCAACATTTGGTATCATTCTCAAGCTTGCCTTTTAAGGCTGCACAAAAATTATTCTTGTTTTCATTGGAACACTGTTAAGAGTCAAGCTGCATCCAATCTACAGGGTCTGCTTATGGAAAAGATGCTCTCCCAGATTCTGTGCTCACCTTTGGCACAATAAGATAGTCATACCAAATACTCCTAAGAGAATGTGGATCAGATTCTACCAACACATCATCCTATGTATTTTATTATTTATTACAGAAAAAGACATGCAGAGTATTCTGTATGTGTTCTGCCTGCTTCCTGTTAGGAACAAGAGCAAACCTGGATTGCTGTGTGTCTGCTACTCATTGTTTCATTTGTTAGGTATTTTTATATAGCTTTATGATAGAGAAGCACATTCATTCAGGGGGATGTATATTCATTCATTCAGGGAAAAATAAACAAACAAAAACAAACAAACAAGCAAACAAACAAACAAACAAAAACATAGAGTGAGGATGAAATCTGATACATAAGAAAAGTGATGGGTATTGGTAATCACCCAGGAACGTATGTCATTATTCACTATAACCATACACGTGGGAGTGTAAAATAAATTGGGAAAGAAAAACAATAAAGAAACGGATGCATCCTTTGAAAAAAAAATGTTACTTAGAGTTGGAAAGTTTAATATAGCTATGGGAAGTACAATATTTTAACACTAGAATCAGCTTAGATAAAGGAAATTTTCATTAGTGTGAAGTTCTAGGGTCAGATGCAAGATTTATGTTAATGGAAAGTGATGATGGAGGTTAAGGCAGTGCAGCTTTTCCATTTAAGGCCAGGCAGTGCATTGTATTCTTCCCATCATGTAACTGTGTCAAGCAGCTGCACAAGCCCCTCATTTAGATCAGTGCAATATCCACACCAAAGGGCAGCAATACGAAGCATTTGGACTTAAATTTTTGGTGTTTTTTTTGCTTCACTCTAGTCATTCTGAGGTTACTTACCAAAGCCTTCTCATCTAAGGTGAATTCACAAAAAAACCCAAGGCCTGAACAATCCCTGATTTGAAAATTAGTAGAAGAGACCAAACTCTTAATCTGAATTTCCTGAACATTTCATATTTTCAGATTTGTGCCATCATAATTAATGTCAAGATGCAAACTCTGATCAAAATTCCAGATCAGGGTTTTGGGCTGGATCCATCACTTCTAATGCACTTACAGGAAAATGTATAGCTGGCAGGTAGGAAAGTTCTCTGTATTTTACAAAAGAAACAAAACATCGAGTAAATGAAGCATGATGTGCACTTGATATCACATGCCTAAGATTTTTGTAAGAGTTCTATAAACTTCAAATTCATATAATGTCATTTTTTTTTCTGTTGATCCTTTAGGACACTGGCCAATACCACAGTTTCACTGTTCCACTGAGACTGAGAAAACCATAAAGTTTCTGTGACATAGGAATCTAAAAAGGCTATGATCATTCTATTTAAAAGGACAGAATGCTTTTTTTTTTTTTTCTCCTTTTTTTCTTTTTCCTCTTGCTAATTTCATCGCCCAGTGTTGAAGGCTGTGTTTTTTCCTCTTTTCTGACATGCCTAGAACTCTTAGCAGTTGGTCTTCCCACAGTCCTTGCATTGAAATCAGCACAGACCTACAGATGTGCCTGCACCCTCAGCAGGGGACACCCCATTTGCAAGTGCATGCAGTCAATTTATTGCTTTGTGATGTTATGTTTTTACTTGGTGGGTCAAATTCCATAGCAATGGATTCTCACAAGGATTAAAGCAAAAAGATGGCATCACACCAAATTGTCAGACAGTGTGAATCTGCATCCTTCAAAGGTGAAGAGGCTGTACTGATTACAGCTCTGAGTGTCTGATTCTTCATGTTTGGAAAAGTGCACAACTAGGTTTAGAGGTTTAACCACCTCTAAATTTCTGTTTCACATGTATTACCAGCCCTAACAATTGTCTATGGAAAAACAAACAAACAAAAAAGAAAGTATTTCTTTATTATGCACTAATTTTTCATATGAAATTAAACAGGGTTAGAGAGAAGTTTTGCAGGTCGAGTAGCCTGCAAAGGCAGTCCCTAATACAGCAAAACATTACAACAGTGTTTGTGTGAGCAGATTGCCAATAGGTTTTGGACTATTAAAAATTTCAGAAATCTAGGCAATTTCTGACCCTGTAGGTAGATATTTTTTGTCATCTCGAAAGAATAATGGTAAAAATATTTAAGTTAATCCATTGCGTACGAAATCATGAGGGAAAGAGGAACACCACCTAGTAAGTTGTGTTTTTTCATTTTTATTTTATTTTATTCTTAAATCTTTACTGAAAATGACCAGCCATTTAAGGAATGAGGCTAAATGTGTGTGAAAATATTGAGGACCTATTTTAGCCCCTTTCACCTATTTGCAGGTTGCTTGTGTGGTTTTATGAGTCATGACAGGTGAACCAATATATCCCTAATGATGAATAAAATGGTTAACCTCTCTTTAAAAAATCTATTTCTAAAGAGATCGCATCTTTTTATCATTGGGCTGTTCCTTTCTACTTTGTCTGTCTTTCATTTTACATGGATTGGATCAGGCTAGTACATAAATGAAGCTCTAGTAGTTTTAGGGTTTTCCAAAGTATCACTGTGAACCTAATTAATGGTCTCCCTGTTAAATTTCAATTTATTCAGGGATTTGCTGAGAAGGCTATAAGTTAGGATAAATGTGGTCTTGTTCTTTGGCTAGGACTCTACATGTGAATTTCCTATTTCCTCAGCCATACCCTTCCACCTGTGGGCTGCACTGATAAGGTGGTCCATAATAGCTACAACCAAGGTTGCCCAAAAAGGTGGTGATAAGGTGGTCTAAAATAGCTACAGTCTTTGTTTTCAGTGATTACATCTCCATAGAAAGGGAGTGGAATCCTGCAGAAACAGCAAATATACTAATTACAAGTTCTAATTGGAGGATGTCAGCTCTTGTAGCTCTGTATTCCTCAATGACCTGATACTGTGAGAATCTAAAGGGTGTGTTTAAAAGTCCAAAAGAATAGAGATGTAGTCTTGTACTATTGCTGTTTGAAAGAAAGAGTCTAATAAGTCAGAATTTGATCTAAGTCAAACAGAAATATAATTATTTAATGTACTCAAACATACTCTCACTGTGCTAGAAATCTAATCACAACAGTGTTCTATTATTGCTTGAAAACAGAGTAGATGTACTATTTTCCTCCTTCTACTGCTTTGCTCACCTACTAGTTACAGCTGGATTTTATCAGCATAAAGAAAAATGAGATTTATCAGAAACCTGCATTCTTCATTGTCAAAACTGTGTGAAAATAAATACTGAAGATGGACTCTTCAGTGCCGTCCTACAGAGAAGTTCTGTTTTTTTTCTACTAATCTGATCCCCAACCATATGTTTAAAAATAGTTGGACTTTGACAATGTGAATAAGAGAAAGCATTTATATGAATTTTATTATGGCAATCTCTCTTTTCACTTGATGTCTTAGCTGCAGTCAGCATTATGATGTATCAGGGAGATATTCTTGAATATATGCTTTCAAGATATTCCTGGAAGAAAGTGCTTTTCTCCGACTCTTCAGTATTGTCTTTCACAGCAATTTTTGAAACATTTAAAGTGAAAGAAGAATTTGATCTAGGTGTCTGTTTGAAAAAAAAGAAGTCTTTTGGGAGGAAAAAAAAAAAAAAGACAAAAAAAGACTGTGCTTCAACAATGTGATGCTAGTGAAAAGAAAACATTCTCCAGGCTCTGTGTTTCTCTATTTTTGCATGTTGAATGGCAAATTCTGTGTGTTTCATAAAAAAAAGCGTATTATAAACCTTGCTTTGGTAAGGCTTTCTTCTGTTTTATTGCAGTTCCTTTATGCAACTTACATTGCCCCATCTGCCAGTATGGACATTGGACTTCATCAGAGGAAGAAAAACATGATTTATCAGAAAATTGACCCAGCTTTTGAGGATCTTTTTGACTTAGCAGAAGAATATATCCTCATTCTTCTGCTAGAACCATGGATGAAAATGGTGGAAGCAGACAAGTACAGTTACGGAAAGGTAATGGGCTTGGATGACACTGTGAAAAATTTCTGTCGTCAAAGAAAATCACAAGAACTTTCATATACAGCCTTTCCCCACTCCTGCACTTAATTCTGCTTCATTTACAGCCAGGAAGGGTGAAGTATTATGGGATATCTCACTCACACACTCCCTTCTACAAAGATGCAAGGAGTAGGCTGAGCTTCTTGTGAAGAGCAGACTTCCCCTTCAAAAGGGTGCTGCAGGCTTAAGAGACCCCACACTTGGTGGAATGGGAAGGAATGCCTCTTGCTACAGCAAAATTTATCTTTGTGCTGTGATGCTATAAAGTGATTTTGTCGTACAGTGGTTTTTTTTTTTTTTTACTACTTTCCTGCATGTAAGGAAAGTAGCATGTAAGACAAGTAGCAGAACTTATACGTAAATTTAAATTTGAGAATGGTCTTCTAGGCCTATTAGGAAGTCCTAAAAGGCCATTTCTAGGTGGTGGGTAGTACTACATGTTTAAGAATAGAGTATAAGGACAGAGAAAAAATGTACAGAAGCATTGCCAGCTTCAGCACTTTGCAATTGAGGAGGTTCATAAAGCAGATGTCTTGTTCACATTTTTGTGTTTAATAGTCTTTGATGACCTTTTTTCCCCATGACTTTATGTAAACGTGTCTTGGGTCACTGTATATCTTCAGCCTCACTGTAGCAGTTACGATCCATGGCTATGAAAACGAACCCAAATACTTATTTTGCTATGTCATCAAAGAAAATCACAAGAACCTTCATATGCATATAAAATATAAATACTTCTTTTGGTTCATTTTCAAATCCCTCCCTGGTAATTTCACCGGATGCCCTAATTCTATAAGCATGAGGAACAGTGAACAATTGTTATCTTGTCATATCCTTAGTGTTAATGCTTTTACATGTCTCTGTCATAACCCACTTCAATTACATCTCTTTGAAACTCACAAATCCGTGACTATTTAACTTCCCCTTTTACAGAAGTCAATTCATACCTTTCTTAAATTTGTCAATCCCATCTGTTTTTGCTATTTTATGTTCTTTTCATGAGAGGCAAGCAATACTTAAGATTTGATGCGCTAAGGATTATGTAGTGGCAGAATGGTATTTTCTGTTTTGTTCTTTTTTTCCTTTCCTAATTGTTCCTATTATTCTAACCGCCTTTTGATTTCTGGTGAACTTTGAGTGGATGTGCAAAATGTAAGCTAATAGCCATCTGCAATGATTCCAAGATCTCTTTATTAAGTAATAGCAGCTAATGTAAAGTCCTAATTTGGAGCTCATTTGAATGACCTAACATTTATTGTTGTTGAATTCAGCTGTCCTTGTATCACGCAGACATTAAGTATCCTGAAATCCTGCAGCTCTTCATGGTCAATTTATTTTTTTGCTTTGTGGAATCATTTTGCAAACTTTGTTGTCTCCTCACTCACCTCCTTTTCCAGATAATTTCTGAATATATTTGAAAAAACAACTTCAGCACAGATCCCTAGGAGACTCCAATAGGAACCACACCCCATTATGAAAACTCTGTACTTCTTTATTTTTGATTTTCTACCTTCTAATTAATTCACAAGGGGACCTTCTATCTCATCCTGTGATAACTTAATTTCCTTAAGAAACTTTGAAAGTTTGAACATTGTTGAAACTTTCTAAAATGAAATATGGGAATCCAAACACATCTGCAAAATATTCTATTTAATTGTCAAGCTTTTCTGTGTTATTTTTTCCAAGCTATTCATCTAAAATTGTTTGTGACCTGCAGAATGACGTGTAATTGATTGGTGCTTTCATTAATCTGAAATTTTATTTACTTTCTATCAGACTAATATTAAAGTAATTTGTATATAATTTGCAAATGCATATTTTACATGTGTATGATAATGTCTAGTATCTAGTGCTAATGCCTTGCAGAAGCACATGATCGGCTAAGCAGAGTACTAGGATACACCACTTGCGTATAAAAAGGGCTCTGCTTTTGAGGATTCTGAATACAGCATTTTCACTGCTTCTAGTGATACAAGAACTCCTCCAAAGTAAGAATCAAAACCAAACCCTTACTTTATGTTAATTAAATGCACGTGTCAGGTAATACTTCCTTGAATTAACTGAGGATTAATCTATTCCTCTTTTGGTTTAGATGATGCTTTGCTTTGCAAGTGTTCAGTTACAGGCAGACTTTTAAGTAAGTGCCCTAATAATGCAAGCATCCTAATCAGAGATTGAAAAAAAAAATAGAACTAAGTCCTTTTGAATGCACAATATATGTGTTTGTGAAGAGTTATTATAAACAGACATAAAACAACCTGTTCTGGGAGGCACTCGAGTCTCTTTGTACTGGGTGCAGGCTGTTGCATTAGCCACACTCCTTCTGAGCACAAAGAAAAGGTCTGCTTTGTATTTTCTTCAGTCCCTGGCTCTACTCTCCCCCTTTGTTCTCCCATACATCAGGATGTATTTGGCCCATAATGAAACAAGATATTTTATCAAGAATTAGGTGAGTTCAAATTTGTTTATTTGGGACATAGTCAGTATATATCTACATTTTTATCTTTAAGCAAAACATGGAAACAGGAGAGTTCCTTTTTATTATTGACTCTCATCCTGCCTCTATCTGTTCTCTGTTTGAAGTTTGTGAAAAATGTTCTGAATTATTTTCTTATTTGCTTTTAAACTACATTTTCTTTTAAAGAAAAGAATACCCCAAAGCACTTTATAACAGTGGAATAGAGTTACACTGAGCCTAAGGACATTCAGATAAAATGGTGATTAGTGTGGTATTCATGTTTACATAAAAGTGTAATGAATATTAATCTAAAAACTCTTCTTTCTCTTGCATGCAAATTCTTGTTTAATTAGACCACAGCTTTCTAATATTTGTAATAGGAGTGCTAATCACTTTAATTAATTAATTGAGTCAGTTTTGCTAAATATCCTAAACCTACATTTGAATGGTTTAGTCAGCCGAGAGGGACACCAAACTATTCTTTACTCAGTTACGGATTGTTTGCACATAACATGGAGCATTACTCTAACTATACATGTACATGTAATGCTTCTAGTTAAGTTAAAAAATACCAACAATTAATGAGTTCCAATCATGTACAATTTACAGTTTTAAGGCACTAACTGTTATCAGACTGAAGAAAGGAACAGGACTGAGAGTCTGAAAGCTTTCGACTTAATTGTTTAGATATTATAGTAAGATGTCATCCTTGTCTCGAATTTCCTTTTCTGGAAACGTGTCACTTTATCTTTTCATTATTTCCCACTGAGAGTGATAGTTTTAAGACCTGGCTTTCTGCTTCTCAGTGACACTTTGGAATGCAATTTGCTGGTAGAGGCTATCAGGTAAGTCTCGGTGTGCTTTACACATTATAATTCAACAATTTTTTAAATACAGTGTTCTTCCCTTAAAGAGGTTATTTAGCAGTGTTTTGTAGAAATCTACATGTGAAACTACATAGACCTGAAAATTTTGTTCCACCAGAGCTTTTAATTGAATTGTTTGTCACAAGGATGTGACTTCTAGTGTCTCCTAAACATCTGTCTCATTATTGGCAAACGTATACTTTTTTATCCACTGTCACTGGCAAGTTGCCTGCCCAGTTCTCCATCTTTCTATAATGTGTACTGTAGGGATGACATAAGATATTATTTTTATTAGGTGGAGTTGGTGGAAGAAACTCGACAGCTGGACTCCGTGTACTTTAGAAAGCTCCAGGCTTTGCATCAAGAGAGTGTTTCCAAGAAGGATGAGGTAAGACAAGTACCTACTAACAAAAACAAACTCTTTTTCTATCAGAGAGGGTTAACGCTTTGAGTATCAGCAATGAAAGACTGACTAAATGCCAGTTTGGAGAAGAAAGTAATCTGATTTCTACCATGCAGGTTTTGTGTAATGATTGATAGCTATTGTGTTAATTACAAATTCAGTTTTCTGTCAGTTACATCAATAATACACCATTATATGATTGGACGTAACGGAACAGTTTCCACTATTTGAACAAATATCCCAAATTCAAGTAAATTACAGGTATGTATTGGTTTATTTGATTAAAGAACCTGCAGATGGTATGCTTAAAGCAAACATAAAAATTAAGCTGCGTAAGAGTTAGGGCCTTAACTCAATCTATTTTCTTAGTGATCATAAAGCTGTTCTATGGAAACAGAAGTTGTTTAATGCAGGATTATTAGACTGGGCAAATATAGAGACGAGCAAAGTAGTTATGCAAGTGAAATCATTTCTTCCTTCAGAGTACTGTTGCTGACACTGGTCTGCCATCCTGCCCTGATGTTCTCAAAGTTGCTCAGAACTTGTGTCCAGTTCCCAAAGAATCGGGAGGTTCTAATCTGTATGATCTGATCCACGACAAACAGAAGTTAGAAAAGTTCTGGGTTTTTCTTAATGAGCACTCTGCTGGGTATGTTTCTCATTTATTATTAATTTATCCATTTTAAAGTTCAGAAGAAATCTCTGCTGAGAATCTTGGCTATGTAAATGTTCATGGATTTTAATCTTTTTTTGTGTGTGTTTGCATATTTATGAAGTAGGCATGCACATTGTCCAGACAGCTGAATTGTCTTAACTATTTTTGAAGGTAAAAATTCTTCTTCATAGCGTGTTTGTAGTCCAGTTTTACTTTCAGTTTATACTTTTATTAGTGGCAAATTCCTGAGTGAAGCAATGAGTAAAAAATATCTTTTTTAGTACAGTTTAAATTGAGTACATTTTAAGAATTAAGGTAGGACATTACAAAAATGTACAAATAGAACACAGCCATGTTATGCTTATTGTGTGAAAGCAACTGTAGTTTTGTTTGTACTGATCTGAACAGAATTAACTACGCACCCCTAACATATACAGTTTATGCAAGGTTCTTGAAAAACAACCCACTTGTTTAAAAATGAACTATTTAAACAATAGTTCTAGCAGAAGTAAATGTGAGTTTGCCACTTTTTTTTTTTTCCTTCTTTTTTTCTTCCCAAGCCCCTCACTTATCTCTATTCTGTTTTAGGAAAAGGCAATTGTACTTTTTAAGTAACTGCTAGCAAATCCCTTAATTGTCACTTCCTTGAACCTAGGTTCCCATGAGCTGATGCTTATAGATAAACACTGCTGTGGTTTTAAATTGGATGTTCGTCACTTTCTTCTGAAGTGCCTAAGGATGGTCATCTAGCACAGGATTCCTCTGGCCAAGACCAAATGTCACCACTTCTGCTTATCATCATAGGTTCCCTTTGTAGTCAGAGAGATAAATACTTCTGGACACAATTCTTGTTATTCTGAAGGGAACATCTAGAAACAGTTGGATGAAACATTTCTAAATACGGCTATTTTTCTTCATTGACTACAAAAAGACTGTAGGTAACAAGCTTAGACTGAAAATTTCATGGTGTAGGTGTTCACGTTCAAGCAAGCATGATGCCACGTTTCTTCTAAGTTAGTTATCTAGATCAGTGGTCTCCAAACTCTTTTGATTGTGCACACCTGTCAGTAAAAGTTTTTTGAGCATGCATACTCAATATATACGTATTTATTTTTTAATAAATTAGAAGCATGTACTACTGAAGTTCTAATATTTTCTTCCTCCCTCCCAGTGGGTTGTTTCATGAACCCTTGCATGCTCACACTCCACTTAGAAGACCACCAGTCTAGACTTCCTCTCTAACTGGGGTAATGGTAGCAATCACCAGTGGACTGGCTAGGATGGAGTATGCTAAGTCACCTCTGTGAGTTCCTGTCTCTCTGTTAATCACAGACAAGTCCTGTGTTAAGTGATAGAGCCGGCCAGAGAAATGCTTAATCTATGAACAATTTGCCTTTTGTGAAAATTCCTAAAGAAAAACATTTGAAAAAATCTCAGAAAACTCTTTTAGAGATAGGTCCAGACCTAGTAACCCAAGTCTGTTGTGGCCCAATTGTGATTCAAGTCTCATGAAGTCAGGTTGCTAAGCACCTGCACACAAATTCTGGTAAGAAACAAAATCAATTTCCATTAATTTATACCCTGTTAAATATACAGGATACAATCACACAGTTGCAGGACAATTTCTGTTACTTAGGTTTAATGGGTTATTTATAACTAATTTGTTCATTTTGCCAGAGCAACTGACCCTGCACATGCTCCTGATCTGTTGGAAGTAAAAAGTAGAGCATGCTTGGATAAGCCATCGCTGTAGACAGTTTAAGCTAATACACTTTAAGATGATATATTTTGCTTTTTAAGTAAGATGGACATATTTGGTCAGTTGGCATGGGTAGATGACAAGGAATAACTCCATAAACCACAGTAACTTGGATCACTTTCCTGTGGGTGAACTTATTTCCCTTTTGACAAACTAGCAAATGAAAGAATTTCAGTCTCAATAGAACTTAGGCCTGTATGGGTCTCAAAAGGCTTTTGAAAGCAAGACATCTGTTCTTAAATCAGTTGGATGCTTTTGAAAGTTTTACTCAAAGATTAATCCTTCAAAAAAGCCCGTTATTAAACAAATGAAAAAGTGAAACAGATTTGTCTGAATTTAATGCTTCATGTTTCCTGCTGCAAATACAATGAATGTCCTCATTAAAATGCTCACAAAAGTCCAGATAGTAAGATACTATCAGAAAACAGTTATGTGAATTATTACTGAAATTGTGGGTATGTCAACTACTATGTCCTCTGGTTTAAAGAATAAAACCAATATATGTTCCATTCAAACAAACTCAAATAGATAGTATACACTCCATTATGAACAGTAAGTATTGAATGGCCATGTATTGCCTATAGATACTATTTGTCATTTAGTATAAATAATGAAATAAGTAGTAGAATCAGTCATTTATGAAAAGGCAGCACATGAAAAGCCATAGAAGTAAGATTTACCATAAATTCTTTTTGTCTGCTTGACTTGTGGACTAATGCAAAAGCTCTAGCACCTCACATGGGGTAGGAAGGGGGTTGATTCCTGGGGCTGCTGCTCCTAGCTGTCAACCTCTCATCCCTGTTCCTCTGTCAGAAGGCAGGACCAGGAGGCAGAACGGCAATGTTGACTTATTTCCCAGTGGCCCACAGCCTGTAGTATCAATTCAAATTCTCATAGTACCAGTTCATACTCATCTGTTTCTTTTTGCATTCACCCTGTGAGCTCTTCTCTGTGTCTCTAGTTTGCAGTCCCTGCTAGATTTAGCAGCAGCAAGCTAAGGAGGTTGCTCCATTCAGGGTCCTCCATAAGGAACCCTGAATGAGCCGCCCCAGATGCTTTTTGATCTGTCTGTTCAGCATGTGCCACAGTCTCACCAGATGGTACAAGCAAAGAAAAACAGACATAAAATTTCAGTCCAATCTGACCTGGTATTTAGGACTTAACACTTTGGTGGTTTGTGGTTAAATTAATAACTCTCTAGAATGTTATGAAATTAACTCAATATTGAAGAAAACATTCTGTTTAAATTTGTTTGTAGGATGGATCTCATGTGCTGGGTAGATATTGAACAGTTCAGGAGGATGCTCCACAAGGATAAAGAAGGAAGGGAGGAAAAGTCCAAGGACATTAAAAACAAGTACTTGAACAAAAAATACTTCTTTGGACCCAACAGCCCAGCTACCAGACAGCAACAAGAACAGGTACCAGTTACAAAAGCATTCATTAAGAAACTAGTTGCTGTGACTGAGATGAGTCTGTCATCAGCTTTACTCTTACTTTTCCCCAAGCTATCTCTGCAACTGTAATCTACATTTTTTGGCCAGTACTTCTGGAACAGAACCAGTCTGGTTCTGCTTTGGTTGTCGGGGTCCCTTACTTCCTGTTCAGGGTCACCCTTCCAGGTCCTCACAGAACATTTCTCTTAAATCCTGATCTGAGGCCACAGCCAGGGCATGCAGAGCACAGCTCAGAAAAAGTGTAAAAATGTTTTTCAGGCAGAGTGGCTTGTTTCAGCTTTCTATTTTTGGTATGTCAGTAAAGTCACAGATGGCAAGTCTGAGCTGTGGTACTCAAATACATCTTGATACTTATGAAATATACTTGGTCAAGTTGGGGTATTATTTGCCAGAGTCTGTATTTTATTATAGGTAAGGACAAATGTAATCTGTTCCCTTTTATGAAAAGTACATGTGAGCCTTGGGTAAGCATGCATTAAATGCTTTGCTTACAGTTAAGCTCATGCTTTGCTAAATCAAGGATGTAGAGAGATAAAGGACTTCTGGTATACACAAAAGTTTATTTCATGTGTTATTGTGTTTGGATTGCTTAGCTAATGCATTCAGGTGGAGGATGGGGACAAATCCTTCATGATCGGCTTCCTCCAGCGGTTTTGCTAGAAATTCAGCAGTGCATCCAGAAGAGATTAGAAGAACAATGGCTACCATTGTTCCTGGCAGATGAACAACGTGGGGCGGAGGGACAAGCAAAGGTAATTTTTTAACAACAGCAACACATATGGGCGTTGTTTTTTGTTTGGCTCATTGGGAGAAAAAGGTTCGGGGGAAAACAGCCTATAACTCACATTCAGTTTACATTGAAAAAGACACTCTAGCACATACAGGTTGAAGCATTTAGCTTGATAATTGTGAAGGCAGTTCCTCTGAAGGCAGAGTCTGGCTGACAGTGTTATTGTTAGATCCTAAATCTGAAGAAGTTGGTGTTGGCTCCGCTGCCAAGGGAGAAAGTTAATCTTTGCCATAATGTTGCACTCTCCATGTGCCATTCTGCCTGAGCACAGAAGAAATGCTGCTTTGTAAAGGATTTGCCCAAGGGGACAAGAACACAAGCAAGTGGGCTTCCCATGCTGTATTCACTCTCTCATACGGTGTCCATATTTTCCCTTCTGGAGCTACAGTGCCTGTAGAAATGACTGCTGGACTTCTGAAATTCTGCTTGGTGGGGATGTTAACTGCTACAAGTCTTGCTTCCGAATGGTTACTCTAAAAAGTTGCCAAAAAACTTAGAATGAGGAGCCTTTCACTCTGCTGGCTATTAGAAAGACTGGGGAAAGGGCAGAGCCAACATCTGCCTTTTACAGGAGCAACTCTGTGGCTGGGATCTATGCAGGGAGATCATCCTGCTCATGACAGTTGCAGAAAAACTTGTTTTCTGCACTTCCACAAGAGCTAGGAAATGTGAATGTCACAGCAGAAGGAAACTTGATGGTTCCACCATGCGGACAGACATGCACACCGCAATGATTCATAAAACTTACTTTCTATGATTTTTTTAACATCAAAAGGGTTATCAGAAGTGTTGTCAGAAATGCACACAAACTGGATCCTTTTAATTGATTCAGAGCATTAAGGAATCAGTAGATTCTGGTAAGAAAAATTGTAATCTTAATAATGATAAAATTGAAGCAAAATTTCCTAGTCCTCTGCCATTTGTAGCTGCACTCTGCTTCACTTATGAGCCCTGGCACAAGACCATGGGATGAGGCTAAGCTGCTTCCAGTTCTGGAAGCCAGCTTTTGCATGCCTCTTCTTGCACCTGCTGCACTACTGGCAGGGAGAGTAGCCCCTGCAGTTTCGAAAATGCTGTATTAAGCTCTAATAAACAGTTTACAGGAAATACATAGTTTTAATCAGCTTTTAGTCTTTCCCTAGTCTTTCCCTTCATTTTTGTCTCACTGCTCTTTTCTCTTTCTTACTGCAAATTCAGAGGATGAAAAGGTCCTTTGAAGAATGTATTTTAGAAGAAACGAAACCAGATGACATTCTCCACTTGGCTTCATATTTCACAGTGACCAAACACTGTGGGCATGCTATGTAGTCCTTATTCCGAAAATCTGCCCTTGATTTGAGGTGTATTTTTTGCTACAAAGAAGCTGAAGGATCAAGTCTGTATTTCTGATACAGCTGTCCAAAGGAACAAAACCAATTCATATTAAAAAAAAAGAACATCATTAGACTCAAAATCTATTCCCAATGTAAGTGGTACATCAGCATTATGGGTAGGATAAACCAGGGGAAGAGCGCCGTTTCACTGCCATTGCCTCTTGACTTAACTCCTCAGTGTTAATGAGCAAGGGCTCATTTATAGCTTAACCGTGGATGGTGTTCAATGTGGGTCCACAAGTTTCATGTACCAAGAGCCAAATGAAGATGGTTGAAGCATCAACTATTCTCCCACTGTGGTCTCAATAGTTAGAGAGCTGAACATTAAACAAATATATTAAAAAAAATACAATGATAATCTTTTGTTCAACTGTAGGTAAAGGACAAAACCGAAGATCTCCTAAGCCAAAAGCAGGAGAAGACAACTAGGATGTGGAAGGCAAGTGAAGTTTATTATGTCTCATGTGTCTACAGTTTTGATGTCTTTTCTGTTCAGACCTCGCACATCCTTCACCATTTCCCTGCTGACAGCGTGAAGCCCAAATGCAGTGCTGTCAAAAGCAGGCATGATTGTATTGGCTACAGTGGGACAATTACTCACATCACTGGTGAATCTAGCTCCCTGCTGGATGTTCACGGTAAATTTCTCTCCCTTCCTGGCTAAAGAGGTCATACTTGAAAAAAACATGTCTCGTCCTTCTCTGTAGAGCACTGTTAACCCTCCTTAAACTGGTATTGTACCTTTAATGCACATTTATCTGTATTTTGCATGCTGTGGACTTATTGGGACAAGCTGTTCATTCCAGCATCTGGTAGTTTATTTATTATTGCGAGTGGATTACGTGCAGACACAAAAGGGAATGTGAAGTATGCAGTGGAGTGGGCAGGTTTAATCATATCTCACAGTATCTGTTTCATTTAGAATTGTATTTTAATCTTACAGCACTGAGATAATATCAATTTTAAACATCTTAAACCTTTGTAATAATACATTTCATCAGATGTTTGCCAGTTTTTTCTCTTGAAGAGCAGTGAACTCTTGGTGATTGCCAACATACAAGTTGTGTACATTTATTCAGTTGAACTTTTATTGTCTGTTGAAATCAAACTGGAGACCCGGTCACCAATTATCCATGCAAACCATTAGCTCGGAAGGGATCCAAAGTGCATGTGGGTTCTGTTAACTGAGTTTTCTTTTGTCTGTTTGTCAGGAAGATGATTATTTTCCATATTCTGCTTTAAGGTTATTAAACCATAAGCTAAACAGTATTCGTACATCAGGATAGGGGTGGGAGCAGCGTTGTGTTCCTCCTTTTATGAATATGCCCCAGAAAGAATTTTTCCCAATAGCTTCTTAAACCCTGGTCACAGCAGAGGGAACATGTTTGGAAATTTGGAGGAGGGCTGAGAAGATACCACCTTACTTACTGTCTAAGTTGCACTGACTTCATTTTAACCAGAGGACTCTTTGGACAACCACCATGCACCCTCCTGCAAGGGTAGGCGCCCAACCCTGGCAAGCTCCACAGCAGAATCTGAACTGTATCCCCTGTCTTTAAGCAAAGCTGCAGAAAGTCTTTCAGCTTAGCATCAGGTTATATTGCCAGGACTGTCTGTAACAACTACAAATGCTTCTGTCCCATGCAGACCATTGAACAGCACTCCATCTCTCCAGGACTTCAGGAGTTTTCTACCACTGTTACAAGACAGTTTTCATTCATCCATCTGATAACAAAGGGGGATTGTTTGGCTTGCTGCTCAGTGACAGCACAAGAACTGTTTGTTCAGGAAGGCAGGCCAGCCTGAACTTCATTTCAAACAAACTGTCCCTGCATAAGCCATCTTTCTTTCTCCACCCTTTCCTGGCTGCCTACTGCTCCCTGCATTGCAGCGGGAGGATTTCCAAAATGTCTCGATGACTTTAAATTCTATTTTACTATTGGTAGTTTTATTCCACCGAGAGCAAACTCTCCAGCTTCTGTTGGTGATCATGGCAACACATTTCAAAGCTCATTTTGTTAGTGAGATCCCTGTCAGAAGCATTTTACAACTTTTAGCTATGTGGTTTGTCTGTTCCTTTTTCTTTGTTGTTTGTTTGCACAAAACTCAAACTGTTCTCTAGAAAAGTAGCCTGTTGCCATAATCAATAACAATAGCTGTTTCCATACTTTATAGTATGTACTCATATGGTCTAAATCATTGTCAGTCATTTCCTCTCCCATCACGTTTTCCAAAAAATGTTGCCCAAACCAAACTGGAAAAAAAAAGAAAAAAGAAAGAAAAGAAAAGAAAGGAAAGAAAGAAATGAAACCTTGCCAAATTCTATTGTATCCATGTCATAAACCCATAAACTACTGAAAGTTAGGGTCAGTGCAAAGATAAGAATCAGACAGTTTACGCTAACTAATGCCTTTGTTATTGCTTTTCGAAACAAAGTTTATTTGGTGCATTTATTTCTTCTCTTGACAGCATGTGGACAATAAGTGGGTTTCTTCATCTAGTGAAATAATTGCTTTCCGCAAAGTGCTGTTGAATCCAGTGACAGCAAATCAGTTTCAACGCTTTGTGTCCCTGAAAGGAGACCTCCTGGAGAACGGAGTGCTCTTCTGGCAAGAGGTACAGAAGTATAAGGTAAGGTGGTAAAACGGCACAAGGGGAACATCATTCAACTTGTAAGCAAATGCATCCATTACTGCAAATTAGGAGAATTTTAACAAGAATATCTCTAAGCATTTTCTTGTTCATAGTAAAACCTCCTTCACCATTTATTTGTCTTTTTCTTTGATGAAAGTCCTGATTTCTTAAGAGTAGCTGTTTTTTAATGACTTGAATGTTTTTTGTGTGCTTCTTCAAACTCTACCATTCTTTTCAATCTCTGAAGGGATACTATTTACTAACAAATGCCCAGATTTTGGTATACATGTGTTGAGCAGTAGAAAATATGCAAGCAGTAAATGTTCATTCTGTCTTTATAGCTAAACACTGTTAAACAGAGGGATTATTGCTGAGTTGGGTAGTTTTTCAAAAATCAGAAAGAACTTTGAAATTCAATCAAATGTACAAATGTAAATATGGTCTCTACCCAAAAAGCTTGCATGTAAAATGCAGACATCATCTCCCTTACACCCTGCACGGTTGCATCTGACTGCCACTGAGGAGGTGGCCAAGGTCAGCAGGGGTTTTCTGTCTTCCACATGCATTCCGCTTCCAGCAGCTGCTGTAGTGTGAGGCAAAGCACAATCAGAAACCTCTGGAGTGAGACTTTAAATCACACAGCAGCCTCCTAGTAACACCCTGGACTAAAGGCAGATGTTTCACTTCTTCCTTATTCCTGTTGCCTCTGGGATTTTGCTGGAGCAAACAAAGCCTCTCCTGGGCTCCTGAACATAGCACAGGCAGTGTGAGGTTAGCTAACATGCTCAGAAATTAGGAGCTGAACACAGGTGATGCTGCGGTAGCACTTGGAGATCCTGCTGCAGGCATGTGGGTGCACTTTCACTGGATAGTTCTGGCATTTGAATTTGGGGTCTACTTTAGAAGCTGAAGCTTCTCTGCTTCCAGAGGGCAATCCTCCTGTCGCCACAGTGGCTTTGACCCCAAAGTTGTAGGCCGATATTCTCTCTGGAGGTGCTGCTGTCTCTCTTGGTTACAGAGTGACCATCTTATAGTACAAACATCACATTAGGGCATCTGAAGTTACATGATATAAATGCTTCTCACAATATCCGACATTTTTTTTTTTCAGATTTGTGACTCTTCATTGCTACATTTTGGAGGACATGGAAACTTTCTACAAATGTGGAGTGTAGTTTAGACTGTTTTCTTTGTGTGTCTGCTTTCTGAAGAAAGGCCTCATTGTTTTATGTCCCACCCCCTCTCCTTCATTTATGTTAATTTTATTTGTCTTCTTATCAAGAAAAAGCACAATCTGACCATATTTCTACATGCATGCGATTTGTCATGGTTGGCAGTTGATGCTCTTTATAGAAGCAAAGGGCTGGAGCAGTAGGAGTGTTGTGGGTCAGGCTGAACTGGAGGAATATTGCCAAAGATGTGGGCAGTACTTTGCATAGTGCATGCTTGTGTTGTCTGAGCCCTATCACGCCATCAGTTTAGACAGAACTCCCTTTGGGAGTCAGTGTCTGCATTGCTCCTCGTAACCCATTTGGGCTGGCGGCACACATTGGGACAAACAAAAAATACAAAAAAATTTTTTGAAAACAAATATGAAGAAATATAACTCTGTGGATCATTTCCATCTGTTTCTGTATGTTCACGTCTCATTCCTCTTCATATCTTATGGCTTGTTTTTCTTCCTTCTTACTACAGCTCTCTGCATTTTCTTCTGTGCTAGATGAGCAAAGAAAACCATAATATATTCTTAGGATATATTGAATATGTTTTTGTATTGCCTTACTTTCTTCATTGTAGCTGTTATCATTCTTTTTTTCCTTCATAAAACTAAAAAGTATTCATAATAAAACAAAACTGTTCTTCCACATACCACATTTCTGGTTAAAAGCCCTGTTTTTAATTTCTTTGCAAAGTAAATATCCAGCCTCCTCTACCAAAACTAAATGCATATTCCTCATTTAGAGAGCACACTTCCTGAAAATTCTCTGGAGTGCTCATTGTGCCTATGGAAGATACATGCAATAATCTCCTGTTGTTATAGAAATGTCTTGATATTTATAGGTAGATGGAAAGTACACGTTTCAAAGGATTTCAAGGAAGCTCTTTGAATGATTTTTCTCTCCTGTCAAAGCCCAATAGTAGCATCACCAGAGTGTGAAAACACGGTAATAATAGGTTTTAACAGAATGATATGGTCACATTACCAAGAGCAGAAAACCTCAGTGCTCCTTTGAGATCTTACCCTTGTAAGTTCAGGTTTGTTTTGTATTCTGTCTATCCTGCATGAATTATTTCAGACATTGAGGTTTTGGGAAACTACAAAATCTTAATGACTGGAGTAACTAGAAATGAATGGAAGACTGTACTTGTAGCTAAAATTGTCTCCTTTTGTGCCAACATTCTTGGTTATAATACCTTATACCACTCAAAATATTCAAATATTCCCCTCTGTTCTTGGTGGAGTTTGTAAAGCATTTCTTTGTCTTTTTTTTTTTTTTTTTTAATTTACTTTACTAGTCATAGCAAGCTCATTGTGAAAATCGGTGCATCTCACACCTGCAAGTGTGTTTGTTTTTTCAGAAGTGCCTCCTATTTACCAATAACGTACTCAGATTGAGTGCAGGACAAAGACTACACTGTTCCATCAGAATGTGCAGGCAGAGACTATCACCTAAAATCAATGACTGCTGTGTATCTGCATTTGCAAACCAGAAGTCCCACTCATGTTTTAACTGTTGCTGTGACCGTGCACATTTGCTATAAGAATTTCATCCTACATACTGAAGGAATCTCTTTGTATAATTATTTTTGTATGACTGTTACTCTTTGATCACTGGGCCCCTGGAAAGGGTCTTGCATCTCTCTTTACACTGACTGAAAGTGCTATTTTTCATCTTTCAGGACTTGTGCCATTCTCATTGTGATGATGCCACAGTCCAGAATAAGATCACGGCTATCATCGACCGCTTTATTAATTCCACCGTACCCCCAGCTTTGCAGATTGACATCCCAACTGAACAAGCACAGAAGATTTTGGAGCACAGGAAAGAACTAGGACCTTACATTTTTAGAGAGGCGCAGGTAAGAAGCTGGGAGAATCTCTGTAACAGATTTGGGATAGAGTTTGTGTGGCTGATTTTAAGGACATCCTTTATTGCTTACGTGGCAATTTTGACTCCATACATAAACCTAACCATGAAGTAGAACACTAGAGTCATCCATTTCAATTAAGATTGTATGGTGGAGATGACAGAGAAGTTTCAGATATTTGCTGCCAAATAAACTGACAATTTGTGTCAGCCAGCTGATATGAGAAAGGTGGTATCCAGGTCTGTGTTAGGAGTGCTGTCAGTTGAAATGAACTTTGTTTATTTTTTGAATTGCTTGTTTATAATTTGATTAATGCCAGAGAAGCAATTTACAGTTACGGGATTCATTCATATAAATATTAAAAAAATATTTATATATATAAAAAAAAAAGCAGATGTGAGTGAAGCACAAAGCTCAACTTACTGAATCTTTCCCTTTTCATTACAGAAAGTCTGCAGGCAATTTTCTCTCTCTGATCTTTTTACTAATCAGACCAAACAATAATCTATAAACCTTTACTACAGACTTATTATTTTCTTATTCCTCATTACTATCATCTATGACTTATCTTCTAAACCCAAGAAAGCTAATTTGTTTTATTTTCCTATCAAATTTCCATCAATACCTTTAAAAATCAAATGCAACTGCGCAAAATATTTGGATTGCAAAAGATGGGTGGTTTGTAAGACAAAAGGGTACGTATGGATCCTAAGAGAAATAAGTCTCATTTCAGCCTATGTAAAAGACAGTGAACTCCAGAAATGTGGCACAAAACCAAGGAAAGAACTTGGCCAAAAAGTTGTGACTCAAATATGACAATGACTCAAGTGTCACTTTCAAGTACTTTAAACCAGAAGCAGTCAGGTGCTGAGCATACTTGACTACTTAGAAGCCAAATTTCTCAATGAGAATTAAACATCTAAATAAACTGAAAAATGTGAGCCTTAGTACATGCAGCAACAGAATTCACTGAGCCCTTCTGTTTGCTTTTTAAAAATTGTTTTTCTTATTCTAGTTCAAAAAAGACCCTGTGAGAGATTATATCATTTAAAAATTATCCAAGATTTGCTCATAGATCTGTAATGTGGTTTAAGAGGCTTTCCAGAGGCAAAAAAGTATTTCCTTTCTCTTAAGGAGGAAAAAAAACCCCTCTCTCCCTAATGAACTGAATAGTTGAAATACTTGAACAGAACAGTGGTGCAAAAGCAATTCTACTGGTGTATATTTTATCAAGAATACTTGTAAAAAATGATGGATGTTTTCATTAATGCAAACAATTGTTTAGGGAAATATATAAAAAAGAAAGTGCCTTTTAACTATGTTTTAGGAAGATTTCTCACCAGTAATAAACACACTGATGAAAAAAGCATGTGCCGAGCAAAGCTGGGTTGAAATGTCAGGACACAGTACGTAGGAGGAACAAGGCTGTGTATTCAAAAAGAAATAGTTATTGCATTCTCACGGTAAACTATACTTTATTTTACAGCAAACTCCGTCTTTCTAGTACAGTCAAGACTGACTTTCTTTTCTTTCTGCACAGATGACTATTTTTGCTCTTCTGTTTAAATTTTGGCCAAAATTTTGTAAGTTTCAAAGCCGTTTGGATAGTGATGAAATTTTGCTTGCCTTGGAGAGAAAAAAAGGAAAAAAGATGCAAAAGAAGGAAGGCAAAACATTAGAGGAAAGGCTTGCAAAGCTTCAGGTGAGAGCTGATGGACTGAATAAAAACTGTTTCATGAGCAAACGGATAGGAATCCAAATATCCTTTTCTCAGCCTGATCCAAAGCTACCGAAATCTTTTTGTTAGAATTCAAGCTTTACATACAATGTAGTCCTAGGGCGATTAGTTCCCAATCCTGCCAATGCATATACATATGTTTAACTTGAAGCAGATGAGTCAGTGGAATACTCCTTTCATTAAGCAGAGAGGAAAATGTATTTTAGCGATCTTTTGTGCCAAGAGAATAGCGGAAAAGAGGTCTGATTTTTTTTAAACTCCATGTATACTTCATGTGTAAAATGGGTAACTGCAAACCTGTTTACACTTCCCATGTGTACTGTCCTTTTTAAAGAATTTACAGTCCTGCTGGGTCACAATTGACAACAAACAAACAACCAACAAGATTTCATGTTTCTTTTTCAGAAGGAGCATTTGAAAAGGCTGCACATTATTGTATAAAATACTTATGAGCTAAATGCTTTGTATAGTCTTTGTCTTTACTTGAGTATTTCTCAGCTTTGACAGTGAAATTATTAGACTGTTCACAATAAGTTCCCAGACAGTGTCGGTGCATTAGCACAACTGTGACCTCTGCAGTGGAATGCTCACTTGTAAAATTGTTTTTCTTGGAATTTTATTAATAAAAAATATATATATTTTGCTATTGATTATAGGCTTTGCAAAATATTATTTTTTATGAAATGTAATTGTTCAGCAAGCTTTGAGGAGAGAACATTCCTTTAAGGGCAGAGAAATGATTGGGCTTGCAAACTATCATAAGTAGCGTTAAAAGACCTTTACATATTTTAAATGCCATGTACACATGTGTTGAGACATTGCTTATGATGAGAACCACATGAGTATCCGAACAGATAAAGACATATGCCTGTACATCGCTATCCTCCTTTTAGACATGTGAAAGCTCAGGACCAGTGAAGTGTTACTCAAGGCCACACAGCAATGTCAAGTGAAGTCTAAAATTCAAAAACCCATGCTGCTTTCTCCAAAGCACATTGCCTCCATACAGATATGTCTGGCAAGGCCATTGGCAACACTTACAGTGCAAGAATGCAATATTTCAAAGTAATGCACTTTTGTGTTTTTGCAGACTTATTTTTTCCATCTGTTTGTTGCCTGTCTATAAGATTTCTGATTAAGATCAAGGAAGTAAAGAGAAAATCTTGGCCAGGAGGGCAAAAGCCTAGCTTTTATGGGGAACAAATGGGAAAGGTGAATTACCCATCTGAGTTGGGAAAAAGGGTAAGAAATTTTAGAAAGTGACAGGCAGGGAATGCAGTTCAGTAAACAGTTTACAGACTATTCACAAAAAAATATATATATATTATCAGTAAACCAGTTATTTCCTCTTGAAGGAATAGGTGGAACAGATAAGTCTTTGAAACCCTTTCCTCTTCAATAATTTTTAAGTTTGCCTTTCTTTGTTCTCCTACCTGAGACTTCTGTCCCCTCAGAGACAACATAACCATTCAGACAATTGATCCAGTATCACTGACAGAGCAGTGTAGGAAGCTCCTAAAGCCAATCAGCCTGGTTCAGGATCAAAGCCTTTCCCACCTCCTGCAAAGTTCTGTTCCTGTTCCCCTGCCCCTCCGTGCTGAGGGAGAGGAATAATCTGGCAAGCATTACAACTGATATTTTTTCTTATAGCTGTTTTCCCCCCACTCCATATCATTTTTGTTTTATGTCAAATGGAACAACCATCCTCCTGTGGGAGGAATTTTGCTTTCTCCCTTCTCCCAGATTTGTCCCTAGGGTGGCTGATCTGTGTGGGTTTGCCTCACTGTCAGAACCGACTAGATAAGGCAGCCAGGCCTTGATGCAGCATAGAGGAAAAACAGGCAGACAAGGTAGTTTTTACTGGACAGTGATGCTTGACTTGGTATCATCTGACTATCTCAGTATTTTTTGTGGGTGCCTTTTGGTTATTTATGGGGCAAATGCTGTTGAAGGCTTCCTTGCCATGGTCTCAGTGCACGGGGTGAGTGGCTGACAGTGAGGGAAGCCATGCATGTACTGTGCAGAGACCTCTTCCAAGCTTTGTGTCTGAAAGGCAGGAATAAATAGGCATGGTGTGAAGTAAAATGGAATATTGAACACCATGTGATTGCTCCTGTATATAGCTGAAATCATTGTTTTAAAAGATATTGCCTTGGGAGAGCACGCTTTGCTTGTCCCTTTTCACGTATTTGTCCTTAGTATAGCACAGCTCTATGGGCTCTTCTTTGCTCTTCTGTGGATTTGTTCCTCTGGTAACTGCACGTGCCACATACTTTTAAAAATATCATTAGTCACTTTTTGCAGACTGCCTCGATGCTATTATTTGTAATGTATTGCCTACGCAATTGCCCTTTACCCCCAAAACAGATTTTGAAATGTTAGACTTCAAGTGTACAAAATAATACTTCCACTGTAAATCTGTTCTTGCTCTTTCCGTGCCCTTTAACAGAGAAAGGTTAAAAACATATATATTAATTTTACTTTTCCATGTTTTCCACCATCTCTTTTTAAGCTTCTAAGCAGTAAGCTTATTTGTTGGTAAGTGGTGTAACATCAGGAGATATGACATTGCCATAACCTGGCTAATTTATTATGAGAAGACATCATTAAAGAACTCAATTCACCATTCTCATTTAGAAACACAGCAAACATAAATGATAGTACTAATATACTACCCTATACACCCTATTTCTGTATTGGTTTTGGCCTCCTTGCTCCAACAATTGCATGTCCCACAGATGGTAGTGAGTCTGCTTGTGGAGAGAATATAAACACCATGCTGCCCGGGCAGTTCTGTGCCCCAAAATCACCATTACAGAGGACGGGTCCATTGGTCAGTGGGAATGGTAAGGAAGGGAAAGGCTCCATGGGAGCAATGAAGTAGGATATTCTGGTCCTTTTTCAGATCTTTCAGGGAGTTTCTGAGCAACTTTGGGAAACGTTTGACCTCTTTTTTTTTTTTTTTTTTTTTTTTTTTTTCTTTTCTCACTTTCTCATCTGCATGCAGAAGAGTTATATTACTTGCCTCATGGGGATTTTGTGGGTTAATTATGTGAGGTTAAATATGAACATTGATTAATGTCCATAACGAGTTTTGGGATCATCAGGCAGAATGTGCAAAGGTGCAGCCTTAATAAAACACTAAACATGAAAATGAAAAACAATCACTAGAGCAATTTACCAAGGGTTACAATGCCTTGTCCTTCATTGTAAATGTTTTAAACAAGATTGCCCATTTTCCTAGCATGTATGCTGTAGTTATGCTGTAGTTCATTCACAGCTTCTGGACCAGGCTGGAATTAATCATGGGAAGTCCTTCGTTCTACATTTATACCTGAGGCTCAATTAGGGTACCACAATGGCCTCTCTGTCCTTAAAATAAGTTCTCTTGCAGGTGTTCTCTCTCACTTAGTGATAGCTCACTCTTGAAGCAGTTATTAAATCTGAAATGAAGATAGTCAGTAGAAGTGTAGGGGTCAGGAAATTTTGATTAAGACAGAGAAAAGTATTAAAAAAGCAGTACCTCCTGACATCTTTTAGTATGCCCAAAGTGATGAATTATAAAACTGGGCTTTACAAAACTCTGTCCACAATATGTTCATCATATAAAATGACACTGCTTACAACACTGTCATGTTTCCAATGACAATTTTTGCTTCCTCAGATTTGCTTTTTACATGAGCTCAGCAGCTACTGTTTAGAGCTAATTATGAGTTCTTATTATTGTCAGGGTAAAGAAGTGGATGCAAACCTCATCAATCTGCCAAGTAGTGCTCTGGGACGAGATACTGGCATGGGGAGAAGACCAACATCATTTTCAGATGGATATGACTGGCAGGTGAATAATAAACATTTTGCTGCAGATATCATCATTCAAGAGAGATAAGATGATCTTGGCAGAATGGGAAGGTGGGGTTTGGTCTTGAATACTACTTACATGTGGTTCTTCAGTAACTGTTCATTCCTGTACAATAGCTTTGCTGTTACAAGGTTAACTTTTCATTCCTTCCTTCCTTTCTCCCATCCTTCCTTGCTTCCAGATTTAGGTTCTGAGTAGTATTAATGCCTAAAAACACATTACGATCTTTAGGTTTGGAGATGTAAAAATTTTCTGTATTTAAATATAAGTTGAAGGAAAGGAAGTTCAAATCTGGAATAAGAAATAATTCACTACTTGGGAAATTCATATCTTGGAAAAAAAACTGGTTTAGGCTTGAGTCCTGTTCTGCTCATTCATCAAAAACTGAAGCTGAACTCATTTTGGAAATCTAGTCACTCGGACAGAAATTCAGACAGATAATAGCCATCTAGCACTTCTTGAAAACAACACACATGATGCACCAAATCTGTAGTGAAAAGGTAGCAGTTATTTTACTGGAGAAAATGGAATAATAGACACACCACCTTGGGCATATGAAGTGATTGCTCATAGCTGTCCTGACACTGACATAATATAATGGGAAGTCTGTGCAACCACATAATCACATCTATGTCATGTGATAGAGGAGTAAATTGCACTCTGGCCACTGCTTAAATTCCACAGAGCTCTTCCTGTGGCATTACATTAGCGAGAGCAGAATATAGAAATAAGCAGTCTGAAATACTCTCAAAATCTGAAGCCACACTACAGGCTGTATGAAGCTCACAGTCTTAGCCCTTAAATAAGCCTTTTAACCTTCACTCATACCTGTTCCAAACAAAAATAAAATGGATCAACCAACCAAAACAAACAATCAAACAAACAAAAAAGCATAACCTGAGATGGGTGAGCCAGGATATCAATATTATATTCCTAAGCCCTCAAGAAGAGGCCAGGTAATTGCAGAAGGCTCAGTAACTTTTTTTGTTGTTCTTCTTCTTCTTTTTTTATTTTTTTTTTGGTTCCTTCAAGCCCCTTTCTTCTATGGGAAGATGCTTGAAGTTCTTAACAAGTACACAAAATGACAGATGGGTCTCAAACTTCTGATGTTGTAAGAAAAAAAAGAAAAGCCAAATAACCATACAGTTCCCATTTCCATTCTGATTTGAGAGAGTGACGTGAAGTTTACAAGGAAACTGAACTGTGGTTCTTGCAATGTAAAAAGGCAGCATTTGTTCCTTAGAAAAGGAAAGAATGACCATCTCTGGATGTCCTGCTTCTACTGGTAGCAGCATTCTGCTGGAGTGGGCCAGCAGAAAGAATTGTGAGGCTAATGAGATTTTCTATGATTTGAGATATGGCACATGAAAGGCTGTGTCAGGGAGATAAAATGAAGCCCTCAAAAGGACTAAATGTTGCAGCTTTAGAAGGGGAAAGGTCTGTTGTGTTTAGTTTTTGTAGAAGAAATGAGAGAATAGGACTCAGAACTAGGGATAGAGAATAAATGAAGATAAACATTATATCTGTCAGAGTTGCTTACATTACATCTCATGGTGTTTTGCGATTTGCTCATTTGTAGCAATATATTATTTTTCACGTGATTCTAGTATTGTCATGACAAAAGTTCTCTTTTCAATAACGGAGATTATTCAATAACTGGGATATAACATAAACAAATTCTTTATCTCATGGTCAAAATGGACCATGGACAACCAGTGGTGTGGTCAGGAGGCTGATTTTTTTAATGATTCTTGCAGACTTCCTGGTCCTATTCCAAGTACATAGAAGCCTTGGAGCAGGAGAGAGTACTCCTTAAAACGCAAGAAGATGTGGAGAAAAATTCATCATCATTCTTTACAGGTTGTTATCCAAGTTCTGTAGTTTCTGAGGACAAGCTTAGCTAAAATTCTCTCAGCATAAGGACTTCGTTCGCTCTTCTTTGGAGTTGCATACATACACATCTGCCTCTCTTATGCAGTCTGCAGGAGGGTTGCTTTCTGCACCACACTGGTGAATGATAAGTTTCCTACAAAAGGGAAAGTGAAAGTTGCAAGGTACTACATTGCCTTTACTGTACAGGCCCTGTGGCAGAGGTGAATATTGGCCATTCATTCTGCACAGTGACACAGCAATACTGTTTGAGTCACACACAGATTTCACCTTCATGGCTTCTTATGCTTCAGCAAATTATATACAACCCAAGAGATTAAACTTTTTTATTTTCACCAGTTTGTCAGTGTGCAGCATGCTTTCAGGACTTGTACGAGGCATTACCTCGTGCTTCTGTGAATGTCTTCTTACCATCTTCAAAGATATTATGACCTCTTTGTTCCTTAAATAGCTCCACTTACCAGTAGGGCTAGCAACAGCACTATGTGATACTAAACCATTCAGCTTCACATCATTTAAATGTTCTTCTTAAATACAGGTACCTCATCTACGTCCTTCATGAAGGCTAGAAACTCTGAAAAACCCACCATTTCTCCAAAGAGGAGCGTGACTTTGGAGAAACGCTCAGATCCTCCCAAAGAAACAGAAAGTGAGTACCAGACTGCCAACAAGTGTGCTTTGAAATTTGGATTCTTAAAAGCTAGTTTTCCTGCTGTCAGTGCTGATGCTCATTAGGAGTGAGCTGTCCCATTCCAAATCACGTTTAACTGAAGCTGTACAGCCTCAACATGAAGGCAAGATTATTTTTTACTCCAACCACGGTAAGTGGACCTAATGTTGGCCAGATGGAATTTTGTTGCAAAATGGCAGTCTCTGAAATGTGGTTATCTGGGCTTTCCAGTTAAAATATTTTAAATAAGAGCATGAGATGACTGGAGTAAACTCAGACCCCATGGAGTCTGGCAAAGACCTGACACAGATCTAGCAATAGATCATCCCTGCCGAAGCAGATTAAACATTAGAATGGGAGAAAGAAATAGGACAGCAAAGAGATCTGTTAAAAACAGAAAAACAGATTTTGCTTCAAAGCTTGGATTTTTAGATGAAAGAATCCCCTGGAGAGTTTTTTAAGCCTTTGCTGAAATTAGATAGACTTAAAAAATAATAGAACTTGGATTATTGCTCCCCTTTCTTCTCTTTTTCTCCTTCATCTTCTATTTCTGTACTTCAGCACTTCTATTTTAGGCAAATAGGTGTCCAGCCCTCCCTCATCCTCCTAAACTTGCCAATGCCTGAATACACTCTTTCTGTGGCAGCGTTTTTTTGAATGTGGCTTCAGGGAGAAAACCACAGCATTCCTCATTCTGTTCTTTCCTCATGTTCTCTTTCTGCCCTCTCATCACCTCTAGCTGCAGGTGAAATTCATTCGGTTGTGTTGGACCTTATGGCTCTCTGCAGATATTACAATACTTCATGCATTTATGCCTTTTTGCACTGCAGTTCTGCTTCACGTGCAATTATGTCAGCATGGGGAGTTCTTGTGCTGGGTCTTTGGTCCTTCTCTGTAGCTGAGAAACCTCCAGCTGGGCCCAGTGCTCAAAGGGGCCCTACAAGGTCACTGCAGTCTTTTCTGCAGACCAGACCAGCAGTTCCTGGCCCACCTTGATTTTCTAAACCTGAAAAAGGCATTCCTGACAGGCACCAGGCTGTGGAACAGGCTAACAAAATGAGAAATGAGAGGTCTTCAGAGGTTTGATAGGTCTCTCCCACTAGTTTCAGCTACAACCCATTCTCCAAGCCCACTGGAAGTTTGCATTTCTGCCTCTTCCCAATAGCTCGTGTTCCTGCTGTCTCTGGGTGGTTTCCTCTTTTTCCCTCACGACTCTCTGGTGGCTCTCCTCACCCACATAGTGATCTGCTCACTCTGCTGGTGGGGCAAAACACCTCTGAAAGACCACTGCTGCTTTTGATGGGACAGCGTCTCTTCTCTTTGTTACAGAGAAAGTCAGGCCTTGTGCCTTGGGTATAAATGGCAAAGTTTTGGTAGTGGTGGGATGCAGGGGTGGCCTCTGAGGAGAGAGCAGGGGCTCTGCTGATTCCACCGAGGTTGGAGGAGGAGGAGAAGAAGAGAAAGAGGAGGTGTTCCATGGCAGAGCAGATACTCCCTGCAGCCCAAGTAGAATCACACTGGAGCAGAGGGAAAGAGTGAGAAGGATAAAGTGGCAGAGAGAAATTGCTATGTACAGACTGCAGCCTCCCCCCTTGCACTGCCCATTGCCTCACCAAAGAGGCTGTGTGTGACCCACGGTGATAACAACTAGGGGAGGAGAGATGCTTGGAGTGAACCTGAGCCTGAAAAAGGAGGAGGAAAAGTGTTTTCCCTAAGTGCATCCACATTTCTTCCTCCCTTTTTGTTTGTTTTTGTTTCCCACTATCAAAATCAGTAATTATTTATTCTAAATGGCAGCAAATTAAGTTAATTTTCCCACTTCCAGTCTGTTTTGCCTGCAACAGTAATTGATAACCAATCTCCCTATCATAATTCTCATACACAAGCTTTCTCTCTCCTGCTCTTCCCGTTTTCTCCCCTCATCCTGCTGGGGGCAGAGTGAGCAGCTGTGGGTGGGAGATGTGCTAGGCAGGACGAACCCATCACACCTTGTTTCTCAGGTGTTCTCTTACACTTTTTGATGCACTTTTTGAAGACTTGTTCTGACTATTTCAACTGGCTGCCACACAGCAATGACATTCTGATACCTTTTGCAGGCAGATTAAAATCTCCCTGAGGAAGGAAATGCAGAGACATTCACCACAGGTGGGCAGGAGACACAGAACTAATGTGCGTGCAAGGTTTGTACTCAATTTCCAGAGCAAAGACAACGACTTTGAACATTATTAAGAACCATGAGGCATTAGTCAAGGGTAGAAAAGAAACATCTTCCAATATATTCCCTATCAACATGATTGTGAAACTGCCTCTTGTGTCATTTATTAGTTTAACAGTACGCCTTGGAGGCTCAGCTTAGAGCAAGATTCCACTGAAGTATGCACAATACAAACAATGACGTAGTCTTGGTCCTAATGATCTTATAACCAAGCCTAGTTCTTCAGCACCTAATCTGATGAAAAAGTAAAACACTGCGTTAACTGATAGCTCTGAAGCAGAGTGTCTCAGCATGCTATGGTCTCAGTACTGCAATTCACACAGCTTCTGGTCATCAAGAATAACCCATGAAGTGTCTGAACTATTCTAAAAACAAACCCTATTGTGATTTTTTCCCAGTCCAGTCTGATTCCTGGTCCAAAGTACACCTTCTGCCTCATTTCTCAGTTTTGATCCACATGAAAGACTCAACATATATCAGGACACCGATCTGATTGATAACTTTTGCAAAATGTCATTCTTCCTGAGGTGTAATTCACTGGAAGGCTGCAGGAATTCATAGCTCTTGGGTAGCTCTCCCTTCTTTCTTACTTCCTTTTAAAACTTGAGTCTTAAAACTAAGTTGTAAAAAGAGCTGGAACAGAGTTGATAGTGGGGAGTGAAGGAAGGGCAGGGGCAGAATTAGCTGCTGGGCAGGGGACAGGATGATGATAGACCTCTCCACATTTTCCAGACCACTTTAAACACCAGTCCCCAGCCACAGCATTGTTGGCTCCATTCTCCTCTACATGTAACGCATGTAAGAGAGAAGCAGATCAGGGAGCTCCAGCTTGCTGAGTTCCTGATGACTTATTCCTGAGCTAGGGGTGGGATTGTCTTCTGCTCCCCCTCCCAACCTCCTGGACAAGAAGAAGGAGCTATGCAGCCCTCTGTGAGTTATCAGAAGTCAAGGACCTTCACGTGGAGCTCCTAGATCACCTGGCCAAGGACAATTCGTGAGTGTTTTCCTCTTCAGTGTGGAGTGACAGTTGAAGACAACTGACACAAACACAATGACCCAGAATTGTATGGGATTTCCACCAGAAGTTCCTTTAGAGAACCTGGCAGGGAAGGAACACATGCACGTTTATGGCTATAGCTCTTCTGCCATATAACCTCACAGAAAGAACATGGGAGATCACTGTTTTGGTTCCTACTTTCCCTACAGTTCAGATACAGAGTTTGCTTCATGCTTATCTCTGTTCCTTCTGTGTCTGGCTTGTTTAATCTCAAGGTATTACCCAAGAAGGACATCTTGAGTAGAAGCCACAACAAGGGAGTAAAACAAAGTTCCTGTTCCTTTTTTTCGTGTTATCCCAAATTTCACAGATGCACTGAACTGTAATGCTCAGTACATCTGAGGAGGGAGGAACACAGCATCTTGCAGTGAGCAGAGCACATGTGGTGCCGTGTGGCCTACCACTCATTAATGTGAAAGGCGAAGAATCGTCATGAAACGCCACAAATGCAGCGCTGTGTGTCAGTCTGAAAAACATACAAAAGGCCACATCATACTGCCACGATCACTACACTGCATGCAACCAAACGCTGCAGCACAGCACTTGGTTTCTGTTTTGTCGTACTCTTGCCTTCGTGGCATTTTGAGACAGATACATAACATGCAGACAATGCTTATCTTCTGCTGGTAGCTTTTACTTGAATCATACTTGGATTACTTATAATATGAAAAAAGATTGTCCAGCTATTTGTCACCGATGATGTATTTCCTTGCATGTTTCAGCCTTACAAAAGTGTTTGCGAAAATTTACCAGCCCTCCTCCTGCTGAAACTGCTGCCCCGGACACTTACTGTGATTAACACCGTACACATCTATCACTTAAAGACAAACAAAAACAAAAACCACACGATATACTTCATGTACTTCCATGAGTGGGTAAAATTCTGCAAACTGGGTCTATTCACTCGAAGTTCTACAAAGAAATGATAGCCCTCAGCCCAGTCTGCAGTTCTGTCTCCATGTTAATACATGAAATATACATATATGTTGTGTGTGTGTGCATTTATAGGACATTTCTCTGGGCTAAATGATCACTGTGTCACTTCAGAAACTTACAGTACTACTGCCTTTTTGTCTTGTTCTTGAGATACATTTTCTCAGGTTGCTGAGCCACCACCAAAGTGAGCCCAGCAGTTTGAAAGGACTAGAAAAGTTTCAGTCAAGAACTCTAGCTCCTCTCCCTTTAGATAAATAAAATATTATTCCTTCTTTAGCTTAACTATGTATACTTTGGGAGTTTCAGAATTCTATAGCATGTTAGTAGAACTACAGTTCCGTGAGGAACAGACAATAAAAAAGCTCTATTCTTAGAAACCTGGAAATGTAGATTTTTTTTTCTGGATGGATCCGTGCTTTGGTGGAGCTCAAAATATAGAATCTAATAAAATACAGAGTCTAATCAGACTTTTGTTGTTTACTACCAAGTAATACAACATATTGGAACTATTTTGAAATTTTTTAAACCATCATTTGGATTCATAAATATTTAGACTTAGATGCTATTACTGTGCGTTTCACTTTTCTCTCATCAGACATGGCATTTTTATTAAAATATTTTATGACCTTTGCATGCCAGACGCAGCCTAGCTTAAAGGACGCAGTCCTGAAATCGATCACTCAGATACTCCTGATAGCAACACAAGCTGTGACTACTCGCTTACAAGCCTCAGTGCAGTTTGCTTTGACTTCTTCCTGCTACCACACGACACAAAGCATCAGACTAGGATGAATTCCTGAAGTTATGTAGTGCTGGATTATGTTCTTAACACACATTCTTAACATAACTTACAAGTGCGGTGGTAGTGGTGGTCACCAGGCCAGTTAAAAAGGAGTAAAATGTTTTCTTAGTTGTGTCTGCACAGTGCTGCTGTGCCATTCCCTCTGTACTCCTTCAAATCTTTTTTTTTTTTAGTGACTGATTTTTATTTTATTTTTTTAATGACTAATAATGGGAATGGTCTCAGACAGTGAGCTGTAGATTTATTTATTGCTTTCAAGGTGTGGAAATCTAGACTTAATCATCAGGCACTGAGATAAGCACTGAAGAGAGATGCTTTGCAGGCAGCAGCAAACCAGATTTGCCAGACCCAGCTTCTACTGTTGTTTCTCTTATTAAATAGCACAGGGTAGCCCAGGGGAGGTTGTTTCTGCCACAGTTTCTACATCCTTTACATGAGAAGGATCACTGTGAATCACTTTGCAAACGTGTTTGACCTCAAATGAACAAGCAAACAAAAAGCAGCATGCATTAGTGAAGACTACAGATGAAGCATCTATGAATCAGGTAATTTTATATACGTGGGACCCTCGGTTTCCTGCTGAACATTTCTGGAGCACTGAAAAATGACAGGTGTCCCATCATTGCTCTGTCTGTGCCTTTAGCCTCATGCAGTATTGCAGACCTGGGGAAATTTTCTGTCTTCTGCCACTTTTACATTTGTGAAATGGCAGCCTCAATCCTGCCAAACACTTGTCAAAACTACTGACTTGAGCTTATTTAAAAAAATATATATTAATTAGTGTGTGTTAGCCTGTGTGCATGTGTAAAAACAATTGAAAATGAACCAGGCACTTCAAAGTTCTGTTCCAAACTCAGAAAAGGCAAACCTTATGTAATTTATGTTTCTAATGTTAAATCTTATCACCATGTAGCTGCCAATGCCAATGCAGTTGCAGCAATCCAGCTTGAATTTGACCCGTTTAAACTGTCCCATTATATTCAAACGATGTTTTTTCTTTGTCTCTGCTTTTTTATAGAAATGCATTTAGTCAGTCACTGCGAATCACAGCTAAGATGGGGTTAATTTTTTTATGATTTTTTAAGCTTATGGAACGTTGGTTTTAATACATTCAGTAGTTGCTGTAAAAATGTAGGGAAAGACAGGTTTCAACAAAAATTTTAGATCTGGATCTGTACTCACAGTTCAAGCCTACCTCTAATGGCCTGATTTGGAGCTTTCCCAGGATTTCAGAGAGTTATAATTCACATCTGTGTTTCTAACTCCTTCATGCATGATTGTTTGAATGTGCACTTTTGGAACAGGTCCATGTCTAATAGGCTAAATTGTAGTTCCCAAATCAGAAGCCACATGGTATTGCTATATAGTTTTTTATTTTTCCTTTTATTATGTAGCCTTCAAACAAGGTTCTGTCAGGCCGGCACACTGCATTAATACAAAACACCAAAACCTACACTTTCTACCTACCTGCTAATGAACTCATACATTTTCATTTCTACCAGTGATTTAATAAAGCATTTACACAATGGCCACAATGGATACTTCTCTGCCAAGTAATAATTTCTCAGAGTGTTAGAGCAGATTGGAATTACGCAGGACCCATTAAGCTGACACGATATGTTACGGGTAGTCAAGGTATAGATTAGATTCTCTCATTTTTAGTATTCATTGAGCCAAACTAATTTATATCTCAAGTGCAGGCAGCATTTACTTGGATTTTCTCCACTAATTAAAAATATTCAAGTTTCATGGTAACATATGTGAAAGTGTTGACAACAACGTTGCTTATTCCACATGTTAATTATGTATTTGTTCAGAGTGTGCCGATGAACTATGTGCACTTCTCATGTTAACTTTTCATTTCATGTCAAAAGCAAATGTAGTAAGTGGATTTGTGCTTTTAATTTGAGAGACTTCTTTTTCCTCTTAAAACAATCTTGTACACGATTCCTCTGTACCACGTGCATTTGAAAATCTTTTGTTGGCAATAAATTTAAGAGGAAAGTACTGCTCTCTTCTCAGAAAAGGACTTTTCAACAAAGCAAAGCAATTGTGCCATTAATGAGAAAGTTAAATGAAACAAATGACACGACAAGAAAAAAAACACAGCATCACACTCAAGGAATGCACAGGCACACAATAGCTTATGCAATATTCCCCATCTGTCAAAGCCAGTAAATACAGAGATTTCATTGGAAATATTCATTAAAATAGTCTGCGGTGGCTGTGGCTCAGTAAAGGCAATCAACCAGCTTTTAGCATTCTTAGTAGTTTTCACCTGTAGGCAAGCAAATGAATTCCATCCCAGCTGGAGACCCAACTGAGCAGTATTGGTTTTGGAAGCCCCAACCCCTGATTGGTTTGAATAGCACTCATTCCTGAAAAAGGTATTTTGGGAATCAAACCTGTATCTCTAGAGTAATTTACATCTTTACAGTTTCGTATGTGTATAGGTGTGTATGTGTCTAAATTCTATACTTCATTGGTTTGAGTGTGTTTGTATGCATAAATATACACTATATGCATATATGCATAAAATCAACTTGCTCAGTAAACTATTTGACAGTTACAATGACATAGGATTTAATCTCGATGTACATCGCCATGTTCCTAATACAATTTTCCAATGAGCTTCTTCCGTATAATTTTTTTTGAGAACGAATGTCTTTTGTTTCATTAAAATGATTCATTCTGTACTCGCATTTCAGGGGATGAAGCCCGTATGCTTTCTTTGTGGAGGAATATGGCTCTTCCCAGAGGCATGCGTGGCTGCTGGGAAGAGCAAATAAGTACACTTTTCGGGAGTTCATTTTGCTCTAGAAAGCATATACAAGAAAAAATTAACTTTCCCTCTGTTTTTTCTCCCAAATGAGAAAGTAACTAGCAGCATATGTTGGGCCACTCACTAAAGACTACAATAAATGATTTAGTATTTTCAAGCTAATGAACCCAATACTTGATCTAAAAATGTCGAGTGTATATGATTGTGTTCCTCTTCCAGTTAGGACCTTCCAGTTCAAAGATCATCCTAACTCCTGGCTGCTTGATCCTGAAATTTGCTGAATGTATTGAAACTCATTCTCTTAAGTTGTGTCTCCAGAGGTGCTCAGCACCTGGCAGTAGTAGGTCTTCAGGAAGCTATCCAAAGGACTGAAACAGATTTTTTTTTTCCCCTCTGAAAAAAAAAACACACCACAACACCAAACAGGGAAATAGCACTGCCTTGTCATGCAGCTCCACAACCAAGAATATTAAAAAACAAGGCAAAACACAATCAAAACACAGAAATACATAGACTCAGTTGGGCTTGCCAAGGCAACGTAGTACTAATCATAGATTGTATGCTGAGACACTAGCTAAGCATTGGAATAAACCGCCCAGAGAGGTTTTGGTATCCTTATTGTCATCAGAGGGGTTCTAAAAACAGATAAGGTATGTACATCTGCCAGGAACAACTAAGTATTTTCAGACCCATACTGGGGCAAGGGAGCGAGTAGATGAATTCTTGAGGGACTTATTTTCTCCGAATCTGTACTCAGGTTGTTCTGAATGCAAAATCTTAGCCTCTGCTAAGGAATATTACGACAGTCAAGGGCCGTGACACTTCATTTGCTCTGCACCCGAAACTCCCACTGAAGCCAATTATTCAATCTAATTTAACAAAGACCACAGCTTCTCTGGCTGTGCAATTGTTGGTAACCATCAACAAACTGATTCATCTACAATTGGGCCAAATGTTACAAAATCTGTTTCTGAGTTCTTGTTTGTACCCCCTTCATAAGATTACACCAAAATTAAAGCATGCAGTACTTGAACTAACTTCAAAGGCTGAGCTTGCACTTCTAGCTAGTTCA